CACCTCCAAAGTGCTGTCTAGCACCACATTCCCTCCTTGCTGTTATTTTGCCTATGTTGCAAAGCTACAATATTGATATTTTATTGTACCAGAACTAGGGGTGCACAATAGAATGACTCAATATCCTTATTGCAGTATAATATCAATGGCTGTATATTGACTAGCAGCTATGTACAGCATGCTAACCTCGACAACCCAGCTGTACTCTAATGTTAACATAGCCATCCTTATTAGCTAGGCTCCTTACATGCTTACTAATAACTTATTTGAAGGTCGTTCTCCGAGATTGACAGTATTGTACTAAGAACATATTATAATAAGAACATCATTAATAATAAGAACAACATTATCAGAGTTAAATTGAATGCAATAGTTTTAGACAAATTTGTGCAGCGTTGTTCATGATCCTAACCATTCAAATACTGGTTGATTCAGGAATCTTCTCTGTGGGGAAAAGCCGGCAACAATCCTTCCTCCAGCGCATGATCATGTTTTGATTCACAGGCAGGTCCGTTGTCAATGTGTTTGTGAGAGAGACAGAGCGAGTGAGGGGAGGGGCTGAGCGAATCTATGCGCTGCAGTGAAATACGATTTTACACATTTTTTAAAATAGTAAATGAAATTGAAATTGGAAATCAGTATGTGGTGGTCAGCGTTGACATTGGGGCGGGCCGCCACAAATAAATCAATGTATAGGAAACACTGCCTTTAAGTGAATATAATTACTGCTCCTTTCTTTGTCAGATCAGCCAAAGGGTATCTCACTGCTCAAGCTTCTGTAACTACAGAGTTCTATTTATAAATCAGCTTTTGCTGCTGTCATAAAATTAAATGCATCTCCTCCTGTCTGCCACAGGATTTCTCCTGGGAAAGACCAACCAGACAAGGAAGTTCAGAGCAACAAAAGCCTAAAAGCTTTTCAATTGAATCACTATTTATCAGTGAGCAGCAAAATATGACATAGGAAAATATCTTGCCATTAGTACTTCCCTTAGAAGCAATGCAGATAGCGTGTCACCGAGCCAAACATGGTTTTTACTTGATGAGTTTTGTAGAGCTAGCATCCTCTGTAGCTGCTGGGATGTTTTAATGTAGCTGCACTGACATTAAGCTACATTTTTACATTGTAGGCAGACAACCACACCCTTACTTTACTTGGGCTAAGTTTGGCTCTCATCATAAGACCATGTGGAAATCTGTGTGACGAGTGTATGAGTCTCTCTGAGCCCGTCTGTCTCTTTTTTTCCCTGGTTGTTTCTCTCCTATTATCTTCTCAACTTTGGTTTGCTTTAGCACATGTGTGTTTGTGTAAATCTCCGTGTGGAGGCTGCGCACAGCTGCTGTCAGGGTGTGTGATGTGATCTGAGTCAGCTATCAGGGTCGTGGTGGTGATGTGACGCTCTGAGGGACATTAGAAAGAAAAAGCAGATGAGTAGTGCTGATGGTTACCCAGCTATTGCATCATCCTGGGATACACGATGGAGCCAGATGCTACGTGGAGAGCAGCAGCCGTGTGTTGGCTGCATCAAAGAACATATTAGGTGATGACATAAAATAAACTGGCGCTCATTGACATTACTTCCTGTCCCTTTTCAGCCAGTGTCTGTGATTGGCTAATTTGGAGTGGAGGGAAGAGATTTGAATTGTTAAAAAAACCCAGAAGATTGTTATTAAAACTTTTTACTGGTGAACGGAAACATAGCTGTAAGAGCGATTAGTCACAGCCAATAAATCTGATTATCCAGCACTGCTTTACAATCACCCCGCTTATTTTAAAGGTCTGAACATCTTATTATATAATGAATAATAATAGCAATTTGCATCAATAGATGACACATGGTTTTTCATTCACAGTCATCAAAATCAACATCAGATGCACATTTACTGTGGACTCAAAGATGAGTGAGCTCTGTCCACCACAGGAAGAGCTGTGCATGCTTCCTGTCCCTTCTCCTCCATACAAAGAATTCACAGTCATCTTGGAATAATCCTGCCCTTTCACTCCTTAATTCTGTGTGTGCATATGTGTATGTGAGAGAGAGAGTAAGAGTGAGAGAGTATGTGGGAAATAGTATACGCCTGCCAAAACCATGAGGTCACTATTCCTCTTTATTAGCCCCAACAAGAATTTGAGTTGTTGAAATAGTGGAATAGAGATAGATGACAGAACCCCGCGTAAGGCTGCAACTAAAAATGAATTAATTTCATTATCGATTAATCTGTTGATTATTTTCATTAATCGATTAGTTGTTTGGTCCATAAATTGTAAGGAAATGGTGAAAAATGACAATCAGTGTTTCCGAAAGCCCAAGATGATGTCACTCAACTTTCTTGCTTTGTCCAAAACCCAAATATATTCAGTTTACTGTCGTACAGGAGCAAAGAAACCAGACAATTTAAAAATAAAAATATTCACAATTTAGAAGCTGAAATCAGAGAATTTCTACTTATTTTCTTAAAAATGATTGAGTGATTATGAAAATAATTGATGATTTAATAGTTGATTTAATAGTTTTTTTCAGTCTATAAAAATTTTAATTGTGTATTACCAATATTTAGAATCAAATTTTTGCATCTCTTCCTGCTTTGTGTTCCAGATTAAACATTTTGCGTTTGTTTGTCTGTGATTGTAAGTTGTAAGAGGTAGCATTTAGTTTATTTCTGACCAACTGTACAAAACCCAAATAAATTCATTGTTCTATTATATGCAGCAAAGAAAAGCAGCAAACACTTACATTTTAGAGGCTAGTACCAGAGAATATTTAGCATTTCTGTATTGAAAAATGACAAAATAACACAAAATTACCCAAGTTTTCTATTGATTAATCAATTAATTGTTTTAGTTCTTGTTATTTGAGCTCAGTGTTTCTTATGGATTATTCAGAGTAACAAGGCCTCTTTATTTTTGATACTTTTTGAAATTTACCTGCATTGTATTGAGGTGGAGGCAGAAATCCAAGAGATACTGTATCTGAAAATCTGTCTGCATGGCCGGACACCACTAGAGTTAAGTGAGAAAATATGTTTTTTGTAATTGAGGTGAACTAACCATTTAACATTAGAACTGTAAGGAGCGCACGTTACTCAGACAGCTGTGCCTCCTTCGTCAGACCCACCACTGCATTCCTCCAGCTGTGCCATGTATTTCATGTGTGATAGCAAGAAGGTTTTATAATGGCACCACACAGGCTAGTATGCATCGTATTCAGGCTCCTCAACCACATTCTCGTTAATCTTGCATTCTGCAGTGGTTAGACGGCAAGCCTTCAGATGCTTTGGTTAAAGTGGGGAGGGGAAACCACGCATAATTATAGTGTAATTGCAATGCCGTTGTTGTTCTTTGTAGGCTTTCTCTAATAATGTATGCATAGTGTGTTGTTCCAGCGTGGCATCCAAACACAATATCTGTTCCATATCTAACACATAAAGTGGTCAAATGACTGCAGTGTAGCACATTAACTAAGCAGAGGATGCATGTCATAAAAGCATGAGATACTGGGTTGTTTGATTGGATTTAAGGAAATCAAATCTTGCATTGTTCTCCTATCTGTAGTCCTTGTTTCCCCAAACTAATTCTTATTATAATATAATATATAAGGGTTAGGGTTTTATTATTACAAGAATTAGTTTGATGAATGATGCAGAAGATTTTATTAAGTAAAGGTTAGGGTGAATTTAATGTTATGGTTATTGTTAACGGGGTTTCAACATAATAAAGTCTTATGTTTGTACTCGCTCTATGGATGATTTTGTTCTGAGGATGCACAGTATTTGCAAGTTTACAAGTTTACTCAATTTTGGACATAACCATTCTTGTCAATGACGCAGATCCCCACTTCTCTCTTAGTCTATGTTTTTCCTGTCGCTCTTCACTAACAACACCATAAAAGCAAAACTGACATAGAAATATGTTACAAAACACTTGTTGCATGTTGCAGTACATTACTTATATCACAGTACTTTACAACTCTCTAAAATTCCCATACTAAATGTTTTGCATATATAAAATTGTTGGATATCCTGAGCTGTTACTGTGATGAAAAAGCTGATCCCTTTGCATCAGACACAGCTGTTGCGTTGGTACAGTTACGTTCCCAACAGCATCGAGCAAAGGAACTGTCAGAGGTGTGCAGTTGATTAAAATTTTACCCAGGGGATTATTGAGTTGGTATACCAAGTACTTATGAGGTCAAGTGAGCAAGAGCTTAGCTCAATAATCTTTAATTCCTTCTCTGATGGGCTTTTCTTGGCACTTTCTACACACGACAGAGCTCCTGTTATTTCATCAAATTACCATGAATAGCTTCCCTTTGAAACCTGTTTAATTTTGAAAAAATAAATTGTGAAAGTATTAAAATTGACTAAACCTCAGTATAAACTTGCTGCTAAAAAATAAACTGAGCAGCTGGCAGTACAATTTAGCAGTCAGCCAGCATCAGTCACCAAACTTCTAACATGCTATGTAGCCAGTCAGTTAGAAAACGGCCATACAGATATCATGCTAGCCAGTAAGTCCTGCTTAAAGTTGTTCTTCAGGCCTTGGCAGAGTGGCTGGCTTTGACCTCCTTTCCAGCTCATCTGAAGGAGAGCGAGGGGAGGAGGTAGGCAGGGAAAATAAATGTCCTGCTGGGGAGGCCAGCCAACATTCCTACATCACTTCCTCCTCTAACATCTGGCAATGATCAGGGCAGGATCAGGGCAGGGCAGAGAGAAAAAGAGGATGTATGTTACTGGCTGGATTAGTGTTCATTTGCAGGCGTAGACAGTGAGGCATCGCATTGCAAGACCGCCCACTCAGTCTTGTTCCCCCTACCAGCAAAACAATATGAATACAAGATTCAGTAGATCTCTATCAATGTTTACACTTTGTCTAGTTTAATTAATTCATATGTTCTTTCATACATCTCAGCTTTTGACATCATGTTGAAAAGGAACAAATTATATGTGTTTGCCTGCTTCTGTGAGTATAAATAAAAAAAAGAAGCTTTCTCCTTTCTCAGGATGGCCTAGCTGTGTTGTGTCGGCAGTCTATCAGCAGTGAGCTACCTGGACCAGAGGTGTGTAATATAACTCACCACTTTATTTTCCAATATTTAAAACAGCTTACTTAATATGACTATCTGTTCGAATAAAAATAAAATCTCTCTTTCAAAAATACCATTGTTTAATCGACTTATACATATTGCAAGTTGCACTCTGATAAGGTAACAAGGATGTAATGTCTTAGTCTCCTTTAACATCCAAATATATAATTATTTGGCTAGTTATTTTTATTGTTTCATAAGAATTGCCTTTATATTATTTTAATCCCTCCTGGTCATAGTCTGTTTTTAAAGAGCACTGTGTGTGAAAATCGGACGTTATTGGTTCAACAAAAGTATTCCTGCTGTGTTTTATATACTATTTTAATAATATCCTGTAGATGTGAGTTTGTTTAGATGATATACTAAGAAGATCATTCTCAGAACAGTTCCAGCAGGTGTTATATTTGAAGAAAGGCTCTTATACTGATGTTTATATCAACAAATGTGTCATTGTAGCAGTACCTTTGAAATATTTTATCCTTTGTGAGCAGTTTTACCGCTGTGGCACTGTAGCAGTAGTTCAGAGATACAGATTATCTGAACTGCTGCTTATTTGTTTTTATCCCAATAGGTGTGTACCAGAGGCAGCAGCAGGTTGCAGCAATGAGTGTGACCTCCTGGTTCCTGGTGAGCAGCGGGGGGACTCGCCACCGACTACCCCGGGAAATGATCTTTGTTGGCCGGGATGACTGCGAGCTCATGCTACAGGTGAGAGCACTTTACACACCAAGTTCTTCACTGACAGCAGCTTCAATAAACCAGAACAGATCTTTGTAGATTACTATGTTGTAAGATAATATTATAACCAATAAACACAAACAGCCTGAGGCATATAAATAACCTGCTGACCTCACAGTAGTCTGTTTCATAAGCTAATTGATTACTGAGTCTGACTACAAATGAGTTCTCAATGCTCATGCTGCTGCAGTAGCAGAACATGTTTATATGTAGGGCTGCAGCTAACGATGATTTTAGTATTCGATGCTTCGATAGATTATTTCAACGATTCATCAATGCGTCGTTTAAGAAGTACTTTTGCTAACAGTTATAAAGACAAAGAATATGGGTGAAAGCATAGATTAGCACACGCAGGTAGCAGGGATTGTCTGAGCTACAGAGAGAGGGAGGGGAGTTAAAAGGTGCAGCTCCCGACACGCAGTTAACTCCTGACTGTGAGGTTACGACTCACGGCCCAAAAAGGAGAACAACAAACACACTTGTTCACATTTTCAGCTGAGGACTGCGGCTTACTTTGGCTAGCCTTCAACTCAAGATTTCAGCTAAATGCTAAAGTTGCTGTTAATGTTACCTTGTCTGTTGTCCGCTGGCAGAACACCTTTTTGTTCAGCTGCTGTTGTGCTGTTGCCAAGGCGACATAAGTTTCGTTTTACGGTGGACGGACGGTAACATTACAGAGTTGTTGTTTTCTTTAGCATGAAATAATAACATACTTTGGACACTTTCTTCTTTGTCCCTCGCCATTTTCTCTCTCTTCCTCCACTTTGCAAACAGCTACATTATAATCCTGACGTGTTCACAGCGTAAGCGCGATGTGCGACAGTAATAAATGTCCGTGCGAAACACTGTGCTGTATAGTTACATGGATTAAACGAAGCATCGATGCAAAGAATTTGTGTCGAAGCATTTTATTAATCGATTTTATCGATTTAATCGATTAATCGTTTCAGCCCTATTATATGTCTTCATGTTGGTGCGTGTGTGTGTGTGTGTGTGTGTGTACTGTGGTGGTGTTTGTGCAGCTGTGCATACACCAAGGGAGACCATGTGCATGCTCATGTGTACCTTTGGTCACTGCACTATTTATAGAAAGTGGGGCAGATACCTCTAGAGTTAGATCTTATCTGACTGGGTTGTAGTGGGAAGAGGGTGCAATGCATCCATGGCAGCAGTCTCTGTTAAGACATTACATGTTGATACAAGTTAATGGTACCAATGTCTGTCAGAGAGGCTGACTGTACACACATCCAGGACTCTAACCGATATTTATTCATTTTTACTGTGGAAAATAGCTTCACTTTTAAGATTGTCCTCTTTGCTGCTGTTTACATATTATCTAGATTTCTGCTTTCTGTGCAGCACTTTGTAAAAGTGTTAGTTATTAATGGCTAAAATAAATCATGCTCCATGCCTTTTAGATACCATTTAATCCTATTGGGTGTATGGATCCTTATAGTATCAAATCCAAACTTCAGAGATGTGCAGAAATGTAATCTATTCATGAGTTTTCTGAGTGGAGGAGGCTGAAGCGTATGACTGACTGAAGTATTTTTTTTATCCAAGTGCACAGTACGGTTACTTTCTTTACTGAAAACTGAATTTTTTACTTGAGAAGCTTGCTTTATTTGTCATCACAAGCCATGGCTTTTCTCACCAATGTTAAACACCCTCAAGGTAAACTGTGAGTTTTTCAGCTGTGAGTTTATTGGCCTACAAATAGTCAGTGTGGTACAACCTATTATATTTTATTTTATTCAAAACATCATTCCTATCCTTTCCTATAGTATTATTTGGTATTTTAAAGTTGATAGGATTTTATATCTTGATGTTCCTATGTTAAATCTAAGCATGCTGTTGCTCACATAGTCTGAATGAGGATGATACAAATTTGACACCCTACTAGTATCACAAAGACGTGTGCTTGCATACATAAAACTTAAAAAATACTTCTGGAGCTTTTGTGTCACACGGTCTTCCACAACAGATGGCATTTGCCCAGTTGTCATATACTTTTTTTGAACACTTTTGTTCTTTTTGTGGTCTCTTCTTCTTGAGCTTGTGAGTTTGTTTTATTAGCTAATGACTCAAGAATGAATCTCATTTGGAAAAATACTACTTTATTTCTGAATATAGACAGCAACACTGTGTCTAAAGTTGACCATGTTGCCCTTTCAGTCTGCTGATTGCTGAGTCTCCCAGTTGGCCTAACTCCTCTCACAGTCCTGTTCTTTGATAAAGAAACTTGGAGACAGGAGAGAAGTAATAAGGGTAATTTACTGAAGCTTGTAAAACTGAGTTGTAAAAGATCTGTTTGTTTTTTTCAAACACATTCTTTAATATGTCTCCAATGACCTGAGGGTCTAGTGCTCCTTCATATGTGTGTGTGTTGTTGTATTCATACACTTGTGATGTCTTTGGAATGACAGAAAGATAAGGGAATTGACCCAAATTGAGGACATTTTTTGGCTTTGTGTGTGTGTCTTTACATAGCTGCTTACAGTTGTCCTCCATGTGACTGCTTTAACAAAGCCAAGGCTTGATCACATGGCTAAACTTTAAGTGCTGCCTGTGTCATGCAGCAAATACAACACAAACACATGCTCACAGATAGAATATCAAACTTCTAATAATTGTATGACAGAGAATTATCACACTGTCACTCGATTGGTCTGAGTGAGTGTTTTGTAAATGTTTTGGTGTCATCTTGCAGAATGAATCCATCACACATGTCAGGGGTTTTGACAGTGCTATTTACAAGCTCTGGCCTCATGATTAGAAGAGATTCTTACTGTATTTATTTACTGAAAAGGGGAAGAAGTGTATTAAATACAGGAACACGGTCACCAAGATGTCAGTCTGAATCATCACAATATATTTTTCCTCTGGGTAATAAATTGGATTAAAAAAAGTCAGTGAGGCTGTTGGAGATCTTTCTGTCTCTTGTAATTATATTTTCTGTCTCATGGCTGAACTCATCTACCAGTGTGTTTGTTTGTAGTTTTCTTGTTTCCTTGATGAATCAAATTTGCCTTGTGTCTTTATCTCTTCCTCTTTTGGTTATATGCAGTATTTTGTCCCTTTCTCTTTCACTCTTAGACTCTCTTAGACTTATATGCACAAGATTAATGTACGTTAACTCATGTAAGCATATTTTGGTAAAACGGGTCTGTATCTGTTCATTTTGAACCCTTTGCTTTCACTTAAGATGTATTTACTTCGCTGACACTCACTTTTTAGTTATGTTGTGCTACTACACATCGGTATTCTAAGTTGCCTCTGCACATATTCAGTTGGTCAGCAGTATATCTGTGTGTAACAGCATGACTCTGCTCTGTCCTGTGGTGTGAGTTGGTTTCTATCCTGTTTGAGCTAGCCTAATCTCACTAAGGTAATCTGTTCAACGGCTGGCTCTCTGGAGTCGATTTCCATGCCTTTAATTCAGCAACACTTCAGCCATTTTATTGAAATATTTGTTTCAGCATGAGTGTGCCGTCCAGTTGTCTTTTTGTTTAAACATGAATTTGAGATTCAGCTCCTAGAATCAGCATTCATCGACTTCAGCACAATAAACTCATGGAACTCATTGTGCAAATTACTTTCATTTTTGTTGTTATGGTATTAGTTAATTTTCACTCCCATGTTGTTATAAATGCATGATTCGTGAGTCTAACAAAGTGATTCACTTGCACAACACCTCAGCACAATTATTGGATTTGTTAGATCAAACTGTGCTAATACATATTCATATTTATCTGACTTTATCACAGCGTTAAGTCAGCACAGGAGAAGGCTGAAACCGGAATCACTGAGAAATGTCTTACCTTACACCTGCCATTTTAATATCAGACAAGCAGCTGCAAACTCAGACTCAGGAGACTTTTGAATAACTAAAACTAAAATAGGAATTGTTAAAGCTGATGTAAAAGCAAACTATTTGATGTTACTATTGATGTCCCTTATCTGAAGGGCGTTATTACAGACATTTGGAGATTCAGTCAGTGTCAATGCATACTTAAAATTCTGTAACATTGATACATGAGAGGGATATTTGCCAAATTCCATAGTATTTTGATATGTGAGGCTCACATCATCTTTTTTTTCACCACACAGAGGAAGGTTGCAGTGTTTGCGCTAGAAACGATATACCCTCAAAACAGCTAGGCTTGAATCTAGACACCACAGAAAATCCATACTTTCACCTCCAGTCCTTCATTGTTCCAGTGCTCTCCTTGTGTGTATGTGTGAGTTTGATTGTGTGTGTGTGTGTGTGTGTGTGTGTACAGCTGTACGTGAATGTGAAGGTGTCGGTATGTTGTGTGCAGTGTCAAAGACATTGGAATACCTGCTGAAAAGCTTCAAGTTGATATTATAATAGATATCATGCATAGTAACATTGAGGCTTACTATCAGAAATACATTCTTGACATTGGATGCTCATACCTCCACAGAGATTTGTAACATAGCAGTCTGCTCTGGTCACACACAGCCCTCTAATGGTTTGTGTAAGTAACAGTTGTTAATCTGCAGAAGAGCAGCACAGATGAGTAAAACTAATATTTCCATCTGCCTGATCTTAATAACTAGATCTAAGTAATCATATTAATTTCTCAAGTGTAACAACTGGGTTCGTATTTGTGTATGTTTTTGTTTGAAGTCGCGCAGCGTGGATAAGCAGCATGCAGTGATCAACTACGAGGCTGGGACTGACGAACACAAGGTCAAGGACCTGGGAAGCCTGAATGGGGTGAGTACAAAGAGAAATATGCTAAACAGAGAAATGTTAGGACAAAGATAAAAGGACAAGAGAGATCAAATACAGGACAGAAATGAAAAGAGGAGAGAAGGAGGTCACAGGATGGATGAGGGATAAGAAAATTAGTTTAACCAGCTGAAGGAGGAGTAACAGGGTTTAGAAAGAGATGGATAGAGACTATACAGGAAAAACAATTATATTCAAGGTAAAGGTAGAGGGAGATAAGGTTCTTAGGGTTAGAGGTTAACCTATTTTTTGGCAGTCAATATGACCTTCAATTTTTCTGCTGCTAATCAACCTCTCAATGAAGATCTGTATCAGTGCTGAGGTCAATTGAAATCCAAGCCTAATTATGCAAATCACAACTTAAGGGCACAATCTGTGATCCAAATATAAACAGGGCCACTAAAAATCGTAACACAACCTTGGGACTTCCATCACCAGATTATGCAGGTTGAGGGATAGATAATATATCAAAACTTACACTATACACTTCATCACTGTACACATAATTGATGATAAGTCCAAACATTTATCTGTAACTTTAGTTGTAATTCTGTGTTAGTTGTTATTATCTATAACTTTAAGGAACACAAACTGTGTTTTTCCCATTTCTCTGTTTGACATTGTAGCTCAGTAAAATCCTGTTACAGCTGCCACATGCCATTAGTCATGTGTAGTGATTAGCACTCCCTACACGCCCACCAGATTGGACACATATGCAGCATGTCCCTCACATCCTCTCCAGCCCTTAGACAGGAAGTCAGAGTCAGAGCCACTTCCTGCTGTGTCATTAACCATCTAGCTTCTTTGGCTGGATTCAGAGGAAGTTTTCTCCTGCTGAGTCAGTGGATATACAGAGATTTGCCACAGTGGTGTGAGTAAAAAAGTTGTGTTTGGGCAGTGTCACAATGTACTGTCTTTCTGGGGTTGCTACACGTTGCTGTTTTGTTAAGCTGTAATGAATTCATCTCACTAGAGAGTAGACAGGAATGTTTTATTACAACAGCAGTGCAAGTATGATAGAATTTCATTTGCACTGCAGCGAAACCTTATCTGTCTCAGAGCCGCATAATAGAAGGAGGGGTGAAAGGGGGGAATGGGAGTGGGAGAAGGAAAAAGATGGAAAAGAAAACAGTCAAAGGGAAAGACATGTATTCTCATACTTAGGCCTTTAGTCCTGGCTGTGCAAACTAATTTCTTATAAAGGAAGCACCGGGATCAGCTGATTCCGCTGTTCAGCATGGCTTCATCATGCATACTAGGACCTTACTGACTACATCCCAAAACTAATTTATTCATCAATTCATCATCAAGAAAGTATCCTCAATGTTACGGCTTCCAAAATCCTGAAACCAGAAAAAAATATCTGACAAACATCTAAGCGAGAGTTGGAAAAATGGTCAGAATATTAATCAGCAAGTGTTTTAAATAACTAATTGTTAGAGATATTTTACAAGAAAAACATCATTCTCTTGTTACAGCTTCTCAAATTGGAATTGCTACTTTTCTTTGTTTTATGTGTGAGTAAACTGAATATATTTGGGATTTGGACTGTTTTTTTGAAGTTGAAAATGTTGATGTGGACTTGTTGAAATTATTATTGGCATTTTCACTGTTTTCTGATAGATCTTATAGACAAAACAATTATCAATTAATTGAGAAAATAATTGAAAGAGTAGTCAATAATAAATATAATTGTTAGTTTCAATGCTAATTAAAACTTGGCAGCACGGACCCTGCTATGTGTGACACAACTGTGCCTAATCAGATGCATATTGTGGTGTCATCTTTCTTTACTTTACTTTTTCTTAGATGGAAGATTTTAATATTAACATTCACACACAACCTATAGTTGAGTTTGTGTTAATGTTATTTTTTATTGTTACACTTGATTTTAATTACCATCTCTTTTTGTATTGCTTTTTCCTCCCATTTGCAGACCTTTGTAAATGATGTCCGCATCCAGGAGCAGATGTACATCACTCTGAAGTTGGAGGACAAGCTGAGGTTTGGATATGATATCCTTTCCCTTTTCTGATCTTTTAACCTCCTCAGACCTCACATCCACTAGTGGGTTGATCATTACCAAGATGCCTTTTTTTTTTACTGTGTGCTATATGATGATATTACAATTTACAGCTTGCAGTAGTAAATTGTTTCATGCATCTGTACCAGTATTTCCCTAACCTGTTTGCCTCACATACCAACCTTTTCACGGTGGTGAGAGGAGAGCTCACTGTGCCTGAGGAGGCTCTAAAGGTAAGAGCACACACAACCAACCTGTGCCCTAACACACCACTCTCAAGTATCAATGTTTGTCATGATACACAGTTGTTTATACTACTTAAATCAATTGTTTAATTTTCTCATTCTCCTTCTAGCATGAAAAGTTCACCAGCGGCCTCCAGCTGAGCAAGAAGCCATCCAGCGGTGAAAGCACTACAACCACAACCACAAGCAAGTCTCCCACTAAGACCCCAACAAAGACACTGAAGTTAGCCAGCGGCAGCACACAGAGGCCGGTGGAGAGTAGAGCAACAGACGGGGTCACTTCTTCCAAAGAGCCAACAGCTAAACCACTGGACGCTCACAAAGCAGAGGAGAGGTTAGGAGGTGAGAGACAGGTCATAGAGGAATTTGTGACAGTATAATAAATGTGAGGAACTTTTTTTTGGTGACTGTTTAACATTGTTATTACCTAATATTTAATGTTAATGCAATGTGCTATGTTGATTTGGTCTATTGTTTACACTCTTTCCTTAAAAGTTTGATTTGTTGACTGGCAACATTTTACTTTAAAACATACAAACAATATCTTCAATTCAAATCTTGCAACTATGTTCAAACAATATACTAAAACCCTGTAAATGCTAAAATGTCATTGTTTCAACGCCAATTCACAGAATTTGTATTGTGACTGTCTACAACCCCAAGAGAACAGGCTTCTGTGTTCTGCATTCATATACTGTAGGTGGAGACATTTACATGGTCCACATTTGTCACATATCACCTCTGTATTTTTAAACCCATTTTCAGACAGAATATGATGAAATTAAGTGTGGTATGGTTTTATCTCAGACCAGTAGGGGGTGGACATGGTCACAAGGAAAGGGCTTTAACCACCACACCAACATGCAGTCACTATGTTTAAACGTAAAGGAGGGTGTCCCTAATAAATGACCGGGCTGGAGTGCCAGCAGGGGTCCTGGGTAAGCTCCAGATGTTGAAACAAGGCCCCATGGGTGGCGATTAAACAGTAACATCGTCATAGTGCCTGCATAATGCAAACCCATATGCCTGCACTACTTCTCTGAAAATGCAGTAACCTTCACAGGCACGCAAATACATTCGCACATTCGGACCAAAAACAAGCATACGATGTTGCATGTCTCCCCATCTGCTGCTCACATTTTTAATGACACTCTCTCTGTGGTTTTGTGGATGTTATCCTGCAGTGGTACAACTATAATACCAGGCATCACCCAGATATTATACCTCTAAGTGAGCATACATTCAGTAGCTTTTATATAGAAGGCTCCTTCTTACTGCACATAATTTGGCACAGAGCATCTATAATTATCCTGATATACGGTGATTAAACTTACATAGCTCAGGGTTAGTGGTACTTAAAGGAAGAGAAGGTAAAGGAAGAGGATAGAGCAGGAAGAGGTCAACGCAGGAGGTGGCGTCCTTTGGCACAGTGGTCTCAGATGCAACATCGGTGGTTGAAATCCTGGTCTGGAGACCTTTGTTTCATGTCATTCCCCTTTTCTCTCAACTATTCCTGTCATTTTTCTACTGTGCTGTCCAATTTAAAAAAAGAAGTTACCACAGGATGCTTGCCCCATGTGAGCTTTCATTCTAATGGTGACAGAGAGGCAAACGGAAAGTCCCTCTTTCATTTGAAACTGTGTGTCTGAGAGAGAGAGTAAGAGAGAGCGTGATAGAGAGTGTGCACATGTGTATGTCCGTCCTGCTCAAGTTCTGAAAATAGGTCAGTGGTGCAAGACCCGACCAGAGGGGTATTAATGCACAAACACACAAACAAGAGCAGCTGGTTTCACTTTGTGTCATCATGATACAATGAACAGTTTAGGACAACAGTATGACAAGTATGTAAACTACATAACGGAATAAACATGTTATACTTGACAGGCTGCAGTTAGAGGTACTTTAAAATGTGCTCTTTCTGCGGGGCTTTAGTTAAATGTGTCTGATGATTTGTCCATCTGTCTCAGGGGACGTTACAGCGCTGCCTCGTGGGACCCCCCTGTATGGCCAGCCGTCTTGGTGGGGGGATGGGGATGCAGACGATGAGAACTCATTTAAACAGGAAACAGGAAAGTCATCCAACAAGAAACATGACAGCTCCATTTCAGGTACGAGGTACTCCGATTTCAAACTTGTCATCATCACACAGATTTCAGATCATGCAGTGCAGAAAAGGATGCATACAGTTTAACACTGTAATAATATTGACAAAACATCAGTGCTGTAAATGGAATAAAGTTGGTTTATTGTCAAATGATGCCTCTGGATTTGTATTAGACTGAAATGCTGTAAAAATGACAATTATACAGTTTTATGTGAATGTACAATTTTGTGTATTTTGTATTACATGACAATGGCCACAGGACGCATATTTCATGCAGAATTCGATTATCAAAGTCTTTAATATTATGGTAGCCATGTACTATGTGACGAATCAGTAAATTTAACATACCGACCATCCTTCCTATAGTTTGTGTGTGAATGTGAAAAATGTGGGCAAAAAGGATATAAATAGTAAATATTTTTGTACAGCAGGAATATATTACTGTATGCTACAAAACAGTTTAACTACTGATGAAATGCAATGCTATGTTAAATCATACAGTGCAGATGATTTATTTATTAGTAGTGAAACAGTAGCTCTCTCAGTTTATTTGCTCTCTGTGTTGAAAGGGTAATTGCCAGTCAGACTGTGTGTTTGTTTGTGTAACAATGTATATCCAAGTACACACAAAGGCTTTTTTCAGAGCCTTTTATGTGCGTATGTCTGCTTACCTACAATATGTGTGTGTAGAGTGACCGTTGGACTGGGGGATCCCGTTAACTGGTGGTGGATAGTCAGTGTAACAGGATTAGACGCTACACCAATAGTCAAACAGCTCAGTGATGCAAAATCAGTCTGTGCCAGGCTGGTTTAGTGTGGACCAGTGTTGTCAGAAGGAGTGGGGGGAGGTTAATCATACACAAACATTGTAGCAGACTGAAGCGTCCTTAAATCTCTCGCCACATCTGGATGGATAGTCTGGCAGCGTCTTCACCAGCCTAAAAAGGAATGCTTTCTTCATCAACTCTTTTAAACAATCAGTTAAAAATTATTTCTGTGTTATACTATGCAGATTTAGCAATATTTTTTTTCTGTTAGCGTGAGATTAGAAAATATTTTTATTTTGGAATAAATCTGTGCAAGCGTGGCAGGGTGATTTGAAACCCTAAAAGCTTTCCAAAAAATCAGACAAATGGGATTGGCTACTTCAGTCATGGAAGTGGGTGAGTGGAAGGTGTTTTGCCCTCTTGAATTGACTTTTTGAGTACTGAATGGATGTTGTTATGTTGAATTTGTTTTGTGAAGCAGCATGCTCTTGGGGGTGTTGCACTGTGTATTGTTGTAGTTTACATGGACCTCAGCATCAAAAGAAGATCTTATTGGTGTACATATTCTTTAAAACAGTGTAAGTACGCCCTCTAATACCCAGTTAACATCAGATATATCAGTGAAGGAGAAGCGAAAGTGAGAAAGAGAGTTTAAGGACAGGAAGCAGTTCTGTTTGCTGGTGTGTTTTTTGTTGCATGCATGTGTATGTCAGTTAAGTGTGTGAGTTAGTGTGTGTCCTTTTCTTCTTCCCAGTGAATAGGCTGTGTTGTCAGAGCCCCCTACCCCCTTCCTTGTGTATTGTCACTCAAGCCGATTGGGTTACGCCATTGAACCAACCCCCCCATTCCTCCTAACACACACACACACAAACACACACACACACTTTACACACAGCATTCAAACAGACCACTCTCTTACTGCAGCGATCATTAGCTAACCACTTTCTAATTCGCCGGTAAGTTTTGCCCTCAATTCCATATACTTTGGCTAATGGGGCTGGTAAAGTGCTTTCAATGTGAATCAACTTTTATTCACGTGACATCCACTTACCTTGCACTTTCTTTATTACCCGTGGCTCTTTTAAGAAGTATTTGGTCAGTTAACTGTTTTTAGCTCTTAGAATTTGAAATGAGAAGGCAGAAGCACTGCAGGTTATTACTGGGTTGTTGGTTTAACTTTTGCCACTGTTATTTAAGCAGAGGCCTTTTGTAAGTGTCTTGAATGCCCATATATTCCAGTGCTGTGTCTGTTGTCGGTTTAAATCTTTGTATGTAGTAGACTCTAATGGAAAATATTAAAGCTGATTTTATGAAGCCTAGGTTTTACATGTTTATTAAAACCACAAAAACATTCTGCAGCACAGTCAGTATTAGTTTGAACTGTATGGTCTTTACATGAATAGCATTAAACTCATTCATGAAACTTTTAACTTCACAGAAATTACTAGGTGCTTCCCAGACAAGCCTTGTGACTTGTGGTGACATCAGTGGAAGCTCTGACAGTATTCACACGTATTACATCTGTGAGATAAAGGAAGTTTAGTCAGTTCATCATAATTTCAAGAAAGGAACAAATAGAGATACGGTACCGTGGTTTTGTCTGTTTTACCTGTTTAATTTTAGTGTTGATAGAGAGCATGGATATAAATGTGAGCACTGTAGTGACTCTAAAATCTTCCCAAACCTCCGGAGCAGCTTATGCTGGCAACTACAGAACCAAAGAGATTTTTTAGCACTTCAGTTTAGTTGATAACACTGAAGTGGAAAATAAGCCTTTAATTCAGATCTGTTTCTGGGAAGATCCTGCTTTGTCTTATGAGCCCTCAAGTGGCACAATCTTATTTATAGACTATTTTATTCATAAGAAATTCACTCACTATTTGTTGCCTGTAATTATATTCTGCAAAGTCAGTTTCTGTATCTTGATTCGTATTGCTGATTGCCATATGTTCCTACAATTCCTCCCCAAAATGAAGCAGATGGCCCCACTAATTTGTGAAAGTATCATTTATCATATTCAGATCCCACAGAGGCTCTGTTTGTTAATATGAACAGATGAGAAAATAAGTGTTCCATATTGTGAGTATCCCAACGCAGGCTTTAAAGAGCTATACCAGCACTTCTTGTGCTGAGCAACTTAACATGACTTTTGTGTGTTTGCACATATATTTAAATGAGAGACAAAGAGTAAAATAAAGAGACAGTGACAGAATGTATATGTGCAAGTCTTTATAGTATTTTTGTGGTGCTTGTAGTTTATAGGGCTGCATTCTCCCCCAGAAGGAGACAGTAATTTTGATAAATGGTGAGACACTTGCTGGAGAGAGGACCATGATTGAATTGATCCATTTTGGGCCTAGCTTGACCTTTCACTTTTGACTTTTGATAATGAATCCTTGTATTCATCTCCCACTGTGACGTAATAAACTAATAAATGCTAAGATAAAAAGATTAAGATAGTCCAGATTAACAGTGCACTCCTGTACTATATCAGTTGTACAGGAGTGGATGTTCTTATGACAACTCATAAGTCTAGTAACACTGCTATACCACTTTTTGTTATGGAAATGATACTGTTTTGTCATACTAGTCATACAGATCTGTTATGTATAACCGTTTTCAACTCCAAAAGCTTGAACCAGGTTTCTCTGAGCATAGATTTTTATTTTTTAGCAAAATTTAAATCATGTAACCTTAGTAACATCTTGGTACATACTTTTCACTCTCAGACAGCAAAGAGGCACGTCGAGGGGAGAAAGCTAAAGAGGACGGCCTTCATGCGTCCGCCGCCCATGATTCCAGTTACTTTGAGATCCCTACCAAGGAGGGTCACATGGCGAATAACGGCATCCATGAGATTCCCACCAAGGACACAGAGGGCACCACCACTCACACTAGCACCACTACAGGTGCGTACAAGTACACAATTAATTTGTTTGATTTCTTTTAAATGGGAATGTAAGATTATGGATTATGCTGTCTGTGTTAACAAAGTTTACCTCTGTAGTTCATAATGATATCAGAGATAATAAATCACTTGCACATTAATTTGTGACAGGAGCACGATTGGTATATTTACATTATACTTCCTGTACACATTTGAGTCCCATTAAGTCGGTCTTTCTGAGAAATGTGTTAGAATCATTTATGCCACAAAGACACATTCATTTACAACAAAAAAAGGAAGTGGCCACTGTTTGTCTAGAACAAACAGAGTAGCAATCATTCTGCAATGTAGGTATGGACTGTATTTGGAGAACTATCCATGTACTGTATATATTTCCATAATTTAACCAAGAAGTCCTTCATTTTTTGTACTTACTGACTGATACAGTAATTGTCTGCTCCACAGCTCAAGGTCACGCCTCCTTCACCATAGAGTTTGACAACACTTCTCCTGGGAAAGTCACCATTAAAGACCACGTGTCAAAGTTCACACCCGACCACCACAGATCTCGCTCTAAGAAGAGTGGAGCAGGAAGTGGAGGAGCAGGAGGAAGGGACTTGAGCACTCTGCAAGCCGCTATGATGGCATCGGAGAGCAAGGTGGCAGATTGGCTGGCCCAGAACGACCCCACGCTGGTGCGTAGCGAGTCAACGGAGGACGACAGCAAGAGCAACAAGAGCATCAAGAGTGACGTGCCAGTCCATCTCAAAAGGCTAAAAGGTGGAGGTGGTTTTCTGTTAACATTTCTGTGTCTGGGTTATGTAAATGTTTTTGTTATACCTTTGCTATACTTTGCTATGCTATTCCTTGATGATTTCTCCTTAAGTCCTTTCTCTCACAAAAAACTCTAAGTTGCTCTCTGCGATAATAATCCCTCATAAGTTATCAGTAATTTCCCCTGAATCATACCACTAGGAAGTAAGTAGACTTTTCCACATAATCAGCGGACCGTACGGGTGCGGGCAGAGCATTCTATAGTTTACTTGCAACGGCCTAAAAAGCTCAATCACCACGGGTCTTAAGGCAAGTGTGTGGGACAAACACCGAATTTTCCTTATTAGATCTACGAGAGCAAGCTGATGAATTAAAGGCGTGGTAGTTTAGCCAGAAATGCAGTATCATACATTAATGTTAGAAGATTTTACATACTGTGTGTAGACTGTGTGTATTCCTTGTTAGGAGCAGGGGTTGTTGGCAGTGGTAACCAAGCCAGGGGATTAGCAGCTAGCAGACAGAAATTTACTCCTCTGACGTCCAGTTGCAAGGCTTAGCATGAGTAGAATAGTACAGCCCCCTAGTGAATTTCACTTTGTTCCCATTTACAGACATAAAATCAAGTGAGGAGCATACGCATTCTACTTCAAGGCAGTTAATGCCTGACTACAAGAGCTTGATTTTGATTTTTTTTTCTGCATTGTCAGCGTGGACATGAACATTTTTTCTTACCTCTGAGGGCTTACCGCTGAAGGTTTGAGATTGCTACGTCTGTAAATTGCATGCCACTCTGCTTTTCATTGTTCCCCGCAAGCAGCCAACTGCTGAGTAGGCTCCTGCTGCCAGGGGCTTTTGTGAGAATTGGCCAGACGAGGCAAGGCCATGTGCCTCCAGTAAAGGGAATTTAAGTTTGATGCTAAGCTAGGCTATTGTAGAATACATGCTGTTCATGAGTTAATTAAATGGAGGCCAATTTATGATGTTGATGTGTGGGGGAGGCACCAGCAGACAGGAGCTGATGAAAATGGAAATCTGTGAGGCATGAGTGGAAACGGGGAAGCTAATTCATTAGATGTGGTTAGTACTCCCTGCATGTCAACTGGCTGACAGAATGGCTCACCTGATGGATGATTATGTTGCTAACTGACTGTCTGACTGACTAGTCAGGGGCTGCTAGACACTGCAGTTTTTCCATTTGAAGTTGTGGCTGATTGATACTTGATGTGCTGGCCCTTAGGATTTCAGCACCTGATAAGCAAAAGAGGGAAATCAGACAAGAACAGCCAGGCTTGAACTGTGGTTGTGACTTGAGTTAAGGGAGAAAAATCAACAATAAAGAAGGGAAGAGAAAAGGGTGGAGTGAGGGGCAGAAGAGGGAGGGAGAGGACAAAGAGGGACAGATAAGGGCATGTGGACAGCTGGATGGAAAGCTCTCTGTTGATGCTGGCTGTGCATATGTAAGGCATGAAAAAACAGGTACAGTGGGGAGATGGGTGCGCGTGTGCGAAAGGCGGGAGAACCTCACTGTAATGCCAAGAGCAGCATTCGCAGCAATAACAGCAAAGGTGATTGGACAGTGACAGGCAGGAAGGAGAGAACGAGAGAGGCTTGTTGCCTGGACTGCAGTGAAAGCGCAAAGGGAGTCGGCGAATGAAGAGAGAGCAGGGTTTTTTTGTAGTTAGTTGTTATAGTAACAGTAATGGAAATGTTGGCTGGGAAAGAGAGAGAATACAGACATACATTTCCAAACAGCAAAAACTAGCAGTGAGCATCTCTTTGTGTGAGAAGGCTGCGGCAGCATGTGTGAGAAGCGCGTCTCAGTGCTGTTTGAGGGCGTATGTGAAGCATGTACTGCTCAGGTGTGGATTTGTGCGGCTGAAATCCATCGTATCGGTGTTTGCTGCATGTTTGTATTTGAGACATGCTCTACACTGATGTGCAGACAAGCATTGCAGCATGTGTGAGAAGAGGCGTGTGCGATGTGCTCAGGGTGTGTCGTAGAGGTACTAGGCAGAGAGACGGGCAGCGGTTTAGTGAGGAAATTGAGAAGAGGCAACAGAGCAAAAGCTTTTGATTTGTAAGCATCAAGGTGAGTCTTTCTCTTCTTGCTGTAGGGAGCAATGTAGATTATGCATCTTTATACTGTAAATTTTGTCGTGTCGTGTGTATTTTAATAAGATAATAATTTCCAATAAGATGTGATTTTGATCAGTGTGAAGGTGTAAATGTCTGAAATCTTTGTGTGATTGAGAGGAATATGTTTTGTGATTTTGATTCATGATTAGTACTTCATGCACAATTCATACTTACTTGCAGAAGTAGAACAAAATAATTGTACTGTATTGTGTGCTCACAAACAGCACAACGTTATGTATGTCTGGGGTTGCATGTCTGCTTGTCAGTTTTGTGCGGCTCTGCATGCATGTAAAGTAAGTGCCTCCTTGTGTCGGGCGCTCAGTGTGTGTGTGTGTGTGTGTGTGTGTGTGTGTGTGTGTGTGTGTGTGTGTGTGTGTGTGTGTATGTATGTTTGTGTGTGTGTGCGCGCGTGGAGGCAGAGGCCAGCTCCACTGTGAGTCATGGCGGGGCGAGCGGGGCAGGGCGCTGGACTCTCACAGTTACCTCTGTTCTTCTCTGGAACTGCCAACGGCTTCTTTGTCTGGGGCACACAGCATGAAAGATCTGCTTCTCTCTGTCTGCTGATCTGCTGAAGCTACTGTACACTCTGCTGCTTTCCTTTCTCTCTCCATGTGTGCTGTCTTTTTCTTCTTTTTAATGAAATTTATGCTTTATAAAATTACAATAATAACTTTATTAAAATACATCCATAAAGATGAAGGAGGAGGTGGATAGTAGAATGTGACAAATGAGCTGCAGACTCAGAAATATGCCCAAGGCTACAGAGCATGTGTGATACCCCAATGTAGAAACATTACTTAAAGGAGTACTCCAGCAATTTAAAACTGTTCTTCAATAAAGTTGGGGGCTTGTATGAGATGGATTTAAAAAAGACCCTGAGATGCCTTGACATTTACTCCTTATGGGTCAATGGGTCCCATAACATTGTCTTTAGACTCTCTCTGTCTTTCAAACTTCACACCCACCCATTTGTAACTCAGGCTTTCTGTTATAAATGTGAACTCTCTGGTTCATGGTTAGCTCACCTGGTAAAGTACGCGCCACATGTACAAGGCTGAGATCTTATTTTAGCAGCCCGAGTCCACCCTGCGGTTGTGTGTCGTCCCCTCCCTCGCCCCATTTCCAAAAGCTATCCACTGTCCTGTTTCTCTCAATAAATTCATAAACATCTTTAAAAAACAAATAAATTGAAGTTTCCAAGACCGAACCGAGACACCGTGATATCACTATGAAATCATCAGGGTTATTTTCTCAGAAATGACAAAAAAGCTCCTCCAGTGCTACAGAAGACATTATACAGCTGCTTCGCAGGCTGAGTAGAACTAAACATGACGAGTAAACTGATGTATAAAATCAGTGGAGAGCCCTCTTTAAGTGCACAGACTGAATGGCTATATTGATACTGATAATGTCATATACTAATACACACACCTTTGTCTAAATTTGAGTTATACTGTGCTAATTTCTGCTGTCGTTCTCTAATGTGCAATATCTAAATAATTATCCATCATTTCCATACAATACTGTCCACAATTTGACTTTCAGTGCAGATAAATCAAGAAAGAAAGAAAGAATAAGGGAAAAAAGGGATATCAGAGCATCAGACTGATTCAAAGTCACATTGTGGGGACAGTTCCCCAGGCAAACCATTCAGCCATGGAAGCACTTTGTCCTCTTTTCTCATGGAGGGCAGTCCACCTCTAGTACTTTTTTATCTCTTGCACACTGTAGCTGTAGTGAAAAGTAATTTAAGCTTCACCATTTGGTTATAAATTCACTCCAATGAAAGTGTTACAATGTGTAAGCATTGTAAATATTAAAAGTCACACTACATAAGATGTGAAGAGATTAGTTTGATTTAAGTGATCTGCTGGTGAACTTGGACAGATGTAGAATTTAAATACCGTTGTGTCTTTTTGAGCATTTATTTGTTTTGATTTGAGAAATCATGAGAAGAAATGATTGTATGTGCAAATTCCAGGATCCGAACCTGTGCGATGTGTGTTAAGTGGAAGTGTTTTCCATTTCCATTTTTTCCTTCCCTCCTCTTTCTGACAGCCTGACTGCTCGTTAACTGAGTGGCTGATTGTGTGAGTGGCTATCAACTCTAGTGGCAGCACATTATATCCTGAGCCTCCTTCAGTTAAGAATTCCCACTCTCTCTCTCTGTTTGGCTTTTTCTTTTCTCCCACTTAAACCAGTTTCTCTCCTTTGCCATCCACCCTTATCTTTTCGTCTTCACCCTATCCTTCTTCCCAGTTCAGCCTCCCTTTTTCCTTCCCAGCCTTCTTTCACTTCCCCTCCTCCTACATCCCTGAAGCCCCCCCCGCCCACATACACTCTCTCTCTCATCCAGCCTCATACTCCACTTCCCCCTTCATGTTCTCCTCCTCCCCTCCCCCCCGCCGCTCTCTCTCACTGTGCCCAGTGGGCTGGGCTAGTGACCGTGTGGGTGGCATGGCTGGATTAGCGTGGCACACTGTCTGCTATCGTACGACACTGAGAGGACATGGATGGTTTGAGCCAGACTGATAAAAATGTACAAATAGCAGTGATGTGGTAGGTAAACCAGGAATTGTGAATTTAGGGTCTGCTTTGATAGTTCATAGGTCATAAAGGTCAGTGATTCTACATAATATATGTACATAATAGTTTGCCTTTCACAGGTAAGCAAAAAGGTCTATTTGATTGTGAATTGTAAATAATAGACATATTTATACTGTGTCATGTGGAATACTGTCAGAAAACTAGTATGTATATAGGAATAATAAGCATGGTAGTAAATCAACTGTGTTCTCTCTTTTTTGTGTCCTGATAGGCAGCAAGCATGAAGATGGCACCCAGAGTGACTCAGAGAATGGAGTGGGCCTGCGTTTCGCCAACCGCCGCCACGCCCTCGAGGAACGCCTAAAGGCAGCACACGGCCACGTGGGAGGAGGAACAGGAGGGGGGAGCATAACAGTGAGCGGGACCAGGGCAACCAGCTCCCGTACTGCCTTTATGATCGAGTTCTACGACGAGGAAAACCCCCGCAAGCGTCGGTCGTATTCGTTTTCCCAGACTGCACCCCTGCAGGTTGGAGGAGCTGGCGGGGAGGGACTGTTTCCCCAGCCTCCCTCTCATCCCAAGGTGTTCAGCATTTCCACCTCTGCCACTACAGCCTCAGACGCAGGTGACAAAAACGTTGTTTCATTATCTCTATATAGTCTATTATGGGTTTCATAAAGAAAATGTTCGTTAAAATCATTTGAAAAAGAGATAAAATCATGAGATTAAGTGAAAGACACCTTAAAGGCCCAGTCATGTTTGGTTTGACAGTATTTCCCTTGCGGACACTGCGGTAAATCTGTTGATCAGGGGCTTTGCATTCATTCTGTTGTTGGCACATACAGTTGTGAACCTGGACTTTAAATACACAAAAATCAGTTACTATAGCATCTCAGTAATGAAATCCTCTGTGAAAACATGTTATTTGTGTATGTGCTTGTTTTTTTTATTAGTTCTGCTCTATACTTTGCTGCCTCTAGGTAAGGTCCCAGCTCCAATATCGGCTACAGTGGCTGCAGGTGCCCCTACGGCTGCCCGCGTCCTTCTCAAGCAGAGGTCAGAGGACCCGAGTATTGGTCGCAGCTCAGCCAGTACCGGGCTGGCGACCGGTAGCCCCACCAGCCCCAGCGAGGACGCCTCGGTCGTGGGCAGAGGAGCGGGAACTGCTGGTGGGCAAGCAGAGGACGACCACAGCGATAAGGGGACCTACACTATCGAACTGGAGAACAGGAACGCAGAGGAAGAGGAGGCCAGGCGTATGATAGACAAGGTAGGAGTGTTCAGAGATGTTAGCAACTACCTTCGACATGTAGGATCATTTCTTTCTACATCAGCCATCACAATAATTTGTCTTGGCTGCATCTGGAGTCCCAGATTAGACAGAGATTTTCTCTTTTTTAATGTTTTGCTACTAAGAGCAAGATTTTTATTATAAATTTATGCCATTACCACCTCGAATTTGTGATAAAAAAGCTAGTCTTCCCTGCATAACACTGCAACAAAATCCAATTCCCTTTGAAGCTCATTCCCAGAGATGTGAACAGCTACATAAGGATAATGTAATCGCACATTGTCAGTTTTGATAATTGACTACAGTTGAGTAGATTTATATAGACTGTAATCTGCATGAAGCTGGGTATTTTTTGTCTTATTTGTAATTTAAGACATTGCCATCACTTGTGGTTGATCATAGTTAAAAGAAAAGCCAGTAAAGTTTTCCACAAACCAAGGGAGATTTTCTTTTTCTATTTGTATTGTTCTACAACATAATGCAACTCTGTTTGAATCTCATGTCCAGAATAGGGCTTTACTGATAAAAAATAAACTGGGTCTATTACAATAGTTTGCAAGTTCAAATGGAAGTCACCTGGAGTGCTGTTTTACGGTTGGGTCTTCAAGTTCAGATCACTCTAAACACCTCCAGAAAACATGCAAATACAAAAACTAGTACCTTCTTTGCTTATTTGTAACCGTAAAAGTAGCAAGCAGAACGACAAGAGCAAAATTTAAACATACTCTGCGGTAAATCTAAAGAGAAGAATTTGACCAAGCACAAACAGACCAGTACAAGGTTAATTGTCTCTTTATTACCTGCTTTGTTGGCCCTTTTAGGGTTAGTAAGGTAAGGTAACTCCCTTGAGACTGTTTTGTGTTGTTGCCACTAAAACAAAGCTATAATCTCTCAGTTTCCTTGCTTGACCACCCCTCCAGCCTCTCTGTCCCATTGGTAAACCTAATGCTTCTGTAATAGCCCGTGGAGACTTGCTCCATCAAGCACTGCCCTGTTTTATGAAAGGATGCTCCAGGGAGGCTGAAAAAAACACCATCCATTTCTTACTGCTGCCCCTGTCCTGTGGCACAGCAGTCTTTCATGGTCACAGAAAAGATGTCTAAAAGAGGCAAAGCAATACACTTAGAGAGAGAAGGTTTTATGTTAGTTTCAGGGTGAGATATACTGGCTGAGGCTAAAAATAGTGGAAAAGCTAACATTTCTTTTGACCATCATTATAAGTAGAAATTAAAAAGACTTCCTTTAAAAAGGTACAACAAAAGCAAAGAGTGCTAAACTAGTCAAGACAGAAGTTTACCAGACTTTTTAATTGCCACCTAACAGATTCAGAAGTTGGGACAGGCAGCATATACTTATTCTTAGGAAGTTAAGTGAAGTTAAGTCGCCAAAAAAGATTAATACATAGACATAATTTTTACTTTACTAAATGACATCTCAAAGAGGCACATGTTACTTTAAGTGTTCTATACAGGTGTTATCCTATGAGGAACAGTGATATCATTAGTAGGGTGTATATCAGTGTTAGTCTGAGTGCATTACATCCAAAACTGGAAGTGTTGTTATGCTAATTCCTGTAATTAGCTGACACACTAATTGGCATACTGCTCACAGTCTGTCCGCTCTCGTTCCCTCTGTCTTTTGTAAATAGAGTGTGCGTGTGTGTGTGTGTGTGTGTGTGATTTATATTTGTTGCCATGGCACTCAACTATCAAGTGCAGATCGGTGCTTTAACTCAACAGCATCTTCTTCTGTGTGTTCAGTTCATCAAGAGAACTGCAGAATGATATTGCAGTAGTGTTTGCATATTGTGAGGATATTTAATTTTCATTTCAGAATAAAGACAAAGAAAATTGGGGAGTATGACAAAATATGCACACATAATGCAATAACATTTGCATGATTATAAAGAAAAATGTCCATGTTATTGTCAGCTTCTGCTTTTTAAAATATCTGTAGGTGTTTGGTGTGCAGCAGAACCAGGACTCCTCTAGTCTCTCAGACCTGAAAGGAGAAGGAAAAGGAAAGGATACAGGAGAGACAGGGAAAGAGGTAGATCATTTTAACAGTTTGTCTTTGAATAGTTGTTGTTTCATGTTTTGTTCTCCCTTGTTTTGTCTCTCTTTCTTTGACTGACCTTGCTCTACCTGTACTGCATTACTAGAAAATAGATGTTGCCCATGGTGAAACATAGGCTAATTGTAAAAACATGACCTCTGCCTCCCAATGTTTCATTTTGCCTCTTAGTGCAGTGTAGTATAACAGAGGTGTGTAAGAGGTAGACGAAGAATCATGGCTGAGTATAATGTGAGTCACCGTCACTCCTGTGGCTTGACCGCTCTACACCCTTGTTTATGGGAGTAGGCTGGTCCTCCCAGAGGCTGACCTAGATCATACTAAGATGAGGAGAGACACGTTCAGCCCTCCAGGCAATTTTATAAGAGGGAGTGGACAGTGTGTATAAGCACTGACAGACTTTCATCAATGCTCATACACACTGTGTCCAAGCCGCCAAGTCTTTTGTGCGAGATTGATGTCTTTTTCAGGAATATACCATCCTTCATTCCCACAAACTATATAATTTCCATGATTATGTATTACATTTCGGATGAACGCATACATGTGAATGTCACTCATGATCAGCTCTGTGTATCTTGTGCCACCACTGATTGATTAGTGATCTTTGTTCCAGTTTTCTCACTACTGTGTTCTTCTTGCTTGTCACCCCACCCCCCCTCTCGTGTCATGTCAGGCTATTCCTGGTGACCCGAGCTGGGTCTCTCAGTGGGCCAGTCTAGCTGCCAATCACACCAGGACCGACCCAGAGGGCTCAGGAGCAGAAACAGCCGCCTTCCTGCACAAAGAGAGAAGTACATAATAACTTGACACTCACTTGAATGAACAGACCTATAATTAAATGTTTTTAAATACAATATGAACAAAATTTTCCCTTTTAAAAAATCCCCAAAATTAAAAGCATGAACAGTATGAAGCAGCATGTGAAATCACACTTGAATGTGCTTTTAACTCATGTTAAAAAAATCTGGAATTTCAGTTAACTGAATGTGTCTTTTGTTCTCTTGCAGCTGATGCCTTTGAGTCTGGTGCATCCCTCAGCCGAGGTGAATCCTCCTCCAGTCTGACTGACCGTAAGCGCAGGACCCTTCCCCAGCTCCCTGTGGATGACCCCCGGGCTAAATCCTGCACCAAAGGTCTGGGACTGAGGTCTGAGATTGGGGAAAAACAGGACACTGAACCCCAGGAAAAAGAGAACAAGGGAGACGGGGAGTCCCCAACTCCCATGGGCGACAGTGAGATGACCAGTAAACGGAAACAAAGCTCCACCTCTTCTCCTTCTAAGGCTCTTCTCCGGACCTCTGGCAGCAGTGAGCGGAGGAAGAAGTCAGAGGAGAGGAAAGAAGGAGGAGGAGGAGGAGGAGGAGAAGAAGGAGGAGAGAAGTCTGGGAAGCCTCTTGTGCGCCAGGGCAGCTTCACGATTGAGAAGCCCAGCGCAAATGTCCCTGCAGAGCTCATCCCACGCATCAACAGAGGCGGCAGTGGGCGTGAACGCAGTGATTCCGTGGGCAGCATGGATACCGCTACCCTCCTGAAGGACACTGAAGCTGTGATGGCATTCCTGGAGGCCAAGCTAAGAGATGAAAACAAACTAGAGCAGAAAAGTAGTAAAACTGGCATCATCACTCACGGTTCAGGTTCTGGCTTCCCCACTCGGACTGACTCCATCTCTCCTGAGTCAGATGTGGACACGGCCAGCACAGCTAGTCATGTGGCTGGAGAGGCAGAGAGGAAGGCATCAGCGGGTGGCGAACAAAAACGACGTTCCTTCAGCAGCATGCACCGGGAAAAGAGCAACATGAGCACAGCTTCCAAGACCAGTGTCACTAATGCAAGTGCCCGTGAACGCTTGGAGAGGAAGTCTAAAACAAGAACAGTGGAGACGACGAGCCGGACTGATGCACGCCGCTCTGTTCAGCCATCCTCTGCCACCTCCAGAGCACGCCAGCCTTCTCTGGATCTCACGGATGATGACCAGACTTCTTCCTTCCCCATCTCTGACATCCTCTCCTCAGACCAAGAGACCTACTCTGGACCACTGGGGCATTCCAAACTCGACAGCAGGTCTGCTAAATCCTCCACCTGTGGATCCTCCAAAACCAGCCGCACTCTCCAGGCAGCCACGACCTCCTCCCTGAACAAGCAGGCCTCACTGCCTCAGCCGCGCCCCACAAGAGCCTCCCTTCTCCGCCGAGCTCGGCTGGGGGATACATCTGACACGGATCTAGCTGATGCAGACAGGGTGTCTGTAGCTTCTGAGGTGTCCACCACCAGCTCCACCTCTAAGCCGCCATCCGGTCGGAAGGGACTGTCACGGCTGGACATGCTGGCTCAGCCGCGCAGGAACCGTCTGGGCTCCATCTCAGCCCGCAGTGACTCAGAGTGTACAGTGACCCGGAGCTCTACCTCTTCACCCCGCCTGTCAGCTGAGACTGCTCTGCGTCTCGGCTTGCGCTCATCAACACCAACAGAGAACAGGCTGACGCCCAGGATGAGGGCCAACAGCGTGTCCAAACTGAATGAGACCAAGACTAAAACCACTACATCTGGATACTGCTCGCCCACAGGTGAGCACACCAACTGCATTCTTAATTTGTGTTTTATTAAAATTTTCTCACATATTGTAAGAACAAGGAGAAGAGGGAAATTGTCCAGCAAGGTGTTTTTTCTTTATTTTGCTGATCTTAGTTATCTTCCTATCAGATCTTATTTCTGATTGCATGGTTCTTTGTAAAAATGTAAAATTAATGTGATGGCCAAAAAAGACTACACCATTGCATACCTCATTATGTGTCAGTGTGCAAACATTTGTCTGTAAACATTTTCACCAAACTTGTGCGTTGGTTGTCATTGTCCAGAGAGCTCTCAGCCCGAACCTGAGGGCGGTGATGCGGAGGAAGAGCTGATGGGTACTGTACCAGAGCTGTAGAGCCTTGATTAGACAGTGTGTGTGTGTGTGTGTGTGTGTGTGTGTGTGTGTGTGCATGTCAGACCTGGGTCACAGCAATAGAAGTCACTACCACCAAGCTCACCAGGAGAGAAGCAGATCGGTTATTCACATTTAGTGCGTTTTCATTTCAAATTGAGATATCCACCACTTGAAACGGTGACGCATAGGAATCAACAGAAAACAAACTGAAGTATGTTTGTGAGTTTGTGTGTTAAAAAAAACATATACATATCGGATCTTTTACATTTTACAAATTTAAATTTTGCAATGAGATTTTTGAATACTTTGCCAAACATACATTTAAAAGTGTAGTTTGTAGTGTTAGTACATAACATAAAGAAAATTCAGATAGTAAAGTTGACCCAGCTCTAGCATATGTTGCCATGTTAACCATGTGTCTCCTCTCTGACATCCATCAAGAAATGATGTGATGAAGACCCAAATGCTCTAGTTGTACACTCCTACTGCGTGAAAAGATTTTACATTGGAGCTCAAACTTCAAAACTCATGAGCAAATGGTTATGGAACCGTGCCCCACCTTGTGGAGATTCATGGCACTTTCACTTTGTCCTATTTTAGTCTTGAGAGACTGATAGAGCATGGTGTTGTCTCATCACGTGCAGCTACATTAATGCAGCTTTTGTGTGACCATTTTGATGCAGCTTAACATATCCCTGGCTCTGTTAAGGTTATATGTACATTGTTGGATGCTTTTGTATGCTGCTTGGGGCGTGGAGCTTTTCGATAAACTAAAGTCTCATTTTGCTGCCGTTTCTGTTGTTTTCAGTGTGGTTTTATTATCGCTAAAACATTTATGTAGCTGTCCAATAACTTAAGTAAGATACAAAAAAATCAAATGCTTTGCTTCACCAGTCATACTTTTTTAATTTTAGCTCAAGAAGGATGTATAGGACATTGCAGAAAATAACATGTTATTGGAAATTAATTTTTATTATCTTTGTAAAATGAAGATAATAATGATCTGCTGCCTAGGAATACAGATTTACTACATTTACATGCACAATTTTTTTTATTTTTTGTCAGAAAGCAAGATTGGCTGGAGACTGCCTCAGTAACAAAGCTTTTCATGTTCACAAGCTCATTTATTAACTTAACGAATAACAAATGTAACAGAATAAAGTACAGTAATATTGACTCAATGATCATATCGCTTTTCCATTACCTTCACAGTGTCCAGTAGCAGCAGGTGGAGACGTCTGCCGCCGGAGTACGGTTCCACCTCAGAGGAAGAGTTTGGCTCCAACCGGAATTCTCCAAAGCAAGGAGGACGCTCCCACATACGGCCTCATCACCTCGTCCCACATCGCGGCTCGAGACTCAGCACCACCGCCAGCCCAGTTTCTGCCGTGGTGACGGGTCCGGGTGGAGTAGGGGTCAAACACCGCATGAAAGAGCAAGAGGAGTACATCAGGGACTGGACAGCACACAGCGAGGAGATAGCCAGGTATTGATCTGTGCTGATCTGTATGAGATTTATCTATCTATTTACATTGATATGTATGTGATTAAAAGTTATTGTGTATGCAGGTTGCATGTGTTCTTGTCTAAAGTCCTAAAGAACTCCTCCATCTGTCTGATGGTTAACAGGTTGTTCCCATGTGTGCGCAGGATCAGCCAGGACCTGGCTAAGGACTTGGCCATCCTGGCCCGTGAGATCCACGATGTGGCCGGTGAGATCGACTCGGTCAGCTCATCTGGCACCGCACCCAGCACCACCGTCAGCACCGCCGCCACCACCCCGGGATCGGCCATTGACACCCGGGAAGAGGTAGGCCCTGCACGTCCCACGCAGCCGGATATACAGGAGAGCATGAGAAAGGTGCCCGTTTTTCTTCTTCTATCATTGCCTTACTGCGTGTGCTTCCATTGCGCCTTTGCCATCCCTCCTGTGTTGCTTGGATAAAAGTGGCGGCCTCTTTGTTGCTTTGTAGCTTTCATCGGCTGTGAGAGGTTTTCATCCTCATCTGCCCCACTTTCATTCCTTACTTTTACCATGAGAGCATTTACTTATTTTAGTACTTAAGATTAAAATCTGACTGTTTTTGGCTGGACAATTAAAGCTTTAGAGCTGCTTAGCTCTCTGACAGAACTAATTCCTAATTCATTTCTCACAAATCTTTACTTAACTCTGTTGAACAAAGCTGAAATCACACTTGTAACAGTTAACAGTTTTAAATAACAGTTTTTTCATATTTCTCTCTTCTATCTCTTTTACATCATTCCCTATTTTTGCCCAGTTGGTGGATCGGGTGTTTGATGAAAGCCTCAACTTCAGGAAGATCCCTCCTGTCATTTCAACCAATAAGGCACCAGAGATCAACGGTAAGCCGGTGGAGCTCCGTCCCCGTGCTCCAGACAGCCTGGAGCCCCGAGCTCTGAGGAGACGCACCTGGAACCGAGAGGAGGTGAGAAGCAGCAAAGAGAGCATGACATCAAAAATATACCAACATGGAGGATCAAATCACCTTCAGGTCGTCACATGTCAAACTTCACACTTTTTTCCCCCTCTGTGTATTCAGGCGGTATTGGACAGCCTGCTGCTCAATTCAGTTTCTCAGCTGTCCTCCAAGATCAGACACTCTGTCGACAAAACAGCAGGAAAAATAAGGTAATTATACTTTGTGATATTATAAACTTCAGTGAGTATTTATCGTGTATCTATCCCTCTGTGTGCCATTGTGCTGCTTCGTAAAGAGCCACTGTGATGAACATGTGTCCTGCTGTATGTTATTTTTCTCCAGGATATTGTTTAAGGATAAGGAAAGGAACTGGGATGAAATTGAGAATAAACTGCGATCAGAGAGTGATATACCACTCCTGAAAACCTCCAACAAGGTACAGAAACCCGTCTGTCTGAATCGTATTTGAGGATGAGGAAAGGGAAGTATGATTGGGAGCTAATAGTTTGGTTGGTTGGTTGTTTTTCCTCTTCTCTGCAGGAGATCTCCTCAATTCTGCTCGAACTAAAGAGAGTTGAGAAGCAGCTTCAAGGTAAAGACACACACCCCTCGAATAATCACATGGTACCTAAACTAGAAACACTTGAACAAGCTGCTGTACACAGTCATGGGTGTTTGATGCGCCATCATTTTATTTGTTTATTTGTGTTCCATGATAGAGGAGAGCATGAATTTTAAAGAGGGAAAGCAGCAAAAGTATGAACTCAGATTTGGGCTGAGTTTTTGTTTTTTTTTAAATCAGCACTACTAAATCTTTAATCCAGAGGTGTGAGAAAGTGTTTTATAGTAGCTGGTGAGTTGTGACTGCCCTCCACTGTTAGGACTGGATTGTGTAAAACCTTTGGTTAAAGCTCTGAATACTTGTCTTCAAATCTGAAGTATTTCACTCTCAAACATTCATGACTAAATAAGCAACTTTTTAAAGTAAAAAAAACAAACATCTTATGGTATTCCTTATTAACAGTTTAACACTAAAAAACAGGACTTCCTCAGGACTGTGTGGGTGTACTTTGATCAGATTTGCGTAACAGAAACCAAACAATCCACCAACTGTCATCAGATTCTGATATAAATCTTGCTAAATCCTGATTGGTGCACGGAAGCCTGTTACATTACTTTTTCCTGACTGAGCCATGCCCACTTTGAGCCAGTGAGAACTAGAGAAAAAAAGAAACACAGCACTCTGTCATTTGAAACAACCAAATCTATTCAAACTTCAGTAGCAAATAGTTCATGTAGGATGCCACCACTCAACCAACTAAACCAACAGATAAAATAAGTTTTAAGGGCCTTTAATACAAAGCCAGATTTTAATCCAAAGTTTATTTTATCTGTAAAGATACATTTACTTTTATTCAACGCCTTCCACAATTTCTTCTCTCCTCATTTCTGTCTCAGTGATCAATGTGATGGTAGATCCAGATGGGACTCTGGACGCCCTGGCCAGCCTCGGCCTGACCAGTCCCACCACCCCTACCAAGCCCCAAACCGCCAAAACAACCTCCCCCTCTGCCACGAGCCCTGGGTCTGTGCTCCCAGCCAAAGAATCACTGCCGGGGATCCTTCCTGGGCCCGGAGGATCAACAGCTAGGGTTCAGGCTGCCTGTGCCAGCACAGAGGAGACTGCACGACAACCCAGCGTGGGTCTGGAGTTAACAGGAGTCGGAGGACTGCCCTTCAGCCGCGTGCGGCCAAGCGGGGAGGAGGCCATCGCACAGAAGTGAGCAGAAAGTTTCCCTGAAATCAACATGATGTGAATAAACATGAGTCTGGATTGGAGTGCAGGTAGCTGGTGATCCATGTTCCCAACAATGAAGCAGGTGTATAAGTGTTACCAGACCTGTCAGGAAATGAAGTGCTTCAACTGACCTTTAGACTCCACAGGCTAAACCCCAACTGATGCATCATGGAATACCTTCGAACGGAAACTGACCCATGAATGATTTGGATAGTCATATTATGCGCTTTTCAACAGTACACTGTTCATGCTTACTGGCCAACCTGACTTCCTAATTGACTAAAAGCTGCCCGGCTGCCCTCTCAGAGGACAGATCTCTGTGGTTGTACAGTCTCCACTCTCCGCCAGTCTTCTCCTCTTGCCTTCTCCATGTGTCTGGACCCTACCTACACTAAGGACATGCCTTAAAACACATCCTTGATAGTAGCAGCCCCTGTCCCCTCAAATAATATACAACTTTTAAGACTTTAATACAGTTCTTTCAGACAAACAGAATGCATTGTAAAATAACACTTGCAAAATGTTCTATTTACACTATGATGAACTATAACACTCTGCAATGATTTATTAGCTCTTGTTAGTATAAAGAATATTACAGTAGCCTTAAGTAACCACCCTGACACACCACACCGTCATTCAGACATGCTTTATGTCTGAAACTGTTCACACATCAAGCAGAATTGCAGATGTTTAAGATATTTCATAAATCTAACCGTCCATTGGTGCATCTCTCTACTGACTGAAAGGATTTGTGGTGCCTCCTCATCTTTGTGCTCCCTCACCCATTATGTTTTACTCTTCCCTTCCCTTCCTTTCTCTCCCAGTAGAAAAAGTATTACAAAAGGTTTGTCCTCCAGTAGCATGTACAGGACAGAGCTGAGAGCTTTCTTCCTGCAAGTTGGTGTCTGTGTTGATCTTACTAATAGTAAATGGTAGTTTTACACAATTGTAACAGCCTTTGGTAAAACCAATGACCATTTTCACTTAATAGAATCACTTACCAAAATGAACAAGTGTTGTCATATTGCCATCTAAAACAGTTGAGCCATCTTGAAATTCACCTGTTGTGTAAAAGCCTGAGAATCTGTATATCAAATATGGTAGTTCATCTCATATGTTTCACCTTCCTCTGAGGTTCACCTTTTTCTCTGAATGTCAAAACAAGTTTTTGCAACAAATCAAAGATTCTTATTTAAAATAATGAAACACAGTTTAATCATTGCTGCCATATCTTTTTTGGCCCATGTGACATGGCCTGTGAGAATCAGTGCCCTTAGCTTTTTACAGTACATCCACTCAAGTGTCCTATAATTTCCAATTGGCTTTTTTCTACTTTTTCCAGTCACAGGGATGTGACTTATTTTTGAACTAGCAATGATGAGCAAAGAAAATAACTGTTTAAACTAAATATTTTATAATATTTAGATACTGGTATAGTAGATATTGTAAGCCTTTTACTTTTTTATGTTTTGAGTCACCTCACAAATTTTTTTATTTTTTCTTTGTCTGGAACTAGCCAGCTTGAGCTCATGTACACAAAACCTGAACATGAATAAGCTGCTGGAATTGATTTTAATTAATGTCTTGTCAAAGCAAACATGGGCAACTTAGGAGGCCTTTTGTGGTTCAAAATGTCTCTTTCAGGAACGTCAGTGAGTAGAAATGAACAGATCTTTGAAAATAGGCTCATCTATTTTATGAATTTCGCTTGTAATACAGCTTCATATCAGTGTATATAGGTGCATTGTTCTATTTACACCAAGGGGAGAAGTTCCAGCTTATTAATACTGTAGAATTGCAAAGACAGTATAGTAAACCTCTTGAATTTGCTGCTTTTCTAGTTACTTTATAGGGACTTACCATTTTCTGAGTCTCTCTTCAGCTTATAGTCTGTGTTCTAGCGTAAAATGACTTTAAAGCAGTATATTAGTACTTAGATACTCTTGCAATAGTGAATTTAGGTACCAGAATACATGTTCATTTCCTTCTCTCTATACTGTACTGTACAATGTTTTTCAATGCCTCAAAGTGCCCATTTTGACTATAGAAGGGCATTGATTAAAAGAAAAAAAGACATAGATGTCTAAAAGAAATTCTCTTATTTTGCACATCAGATTGTGGTGTTTCTTCATACAGAAATAGTGAAGAAGCAGTGAAAGGCTGCATCAAATGTGGTCACATGGTTTGACAAAGAATATCACTTTGCCTGATATCAGAAGCGACTGCCTTGTCTCTCTGGAACTATTCTGTCTGTACAAACGAAGCCTCTAATCGTGTTACTTGTTTTGTTCTTTTTCTCCCCCCCATCCCTTTTAAAAAAAAAAAAAATGAAATTAGGGGACTGTGAATGCTAGGTACATGTTTATTTTTTAAATTCTACATGTGTCATCTGATCTGTGTTTTTTGTCATTTTTGTAAAGAAAAACAAAACACCATTTTATTTATTTTTTTTGTTTAATATTCTGTGGGATGTTTCATGAATTTTATATTTGTTCAACTACCTGCATTGTTTCTTACTGTTAATAAAAGAGAGCCATTCACTTGTTTCTCTCTTTTCATTTACCTGGGCACTAACATAAATCGAACTGCTTTCAGATTATCATGTCTATCTTTTGAAAATTGTCCCCTGTACACTGGCAGGTGATGTTACTACTGACAGACAAGGAACCTATTTATTTATTCCAAAACTGGACTACGTAACAACTCTCAGCATGGGCTTGAAAGGCAAAGGGTTACTTACTAAAAGTAGACCTATCTACTCTCTGGGCCATTAATCACATTTGAACTGAAAATGTAGATAACCCAGCTACGTCTTTCTGTTGCCTGAACTGTAAAATATTTGCATGATTAAGTGTTTGAATATTTTTACACAGAGAAATGCCAACCATAGTGTTTGTTATAATGGAAGTAATAATGAGCATTTTCAAACTACAGCGTCAGCTAAAAGCTTAGCACAAAGGATCGAATGGCAAGTTCCTACATGATGTGTTAGTGAATCTCACTAATTAAAAACTTAATGTGAGACCTACAGCAGTAGTTCTGACATCTCTGACTGCGGAAGCATTGCTCTTCAACTGCAGTGATTAGATTTCTCTTCACAGCAGTAACAACAGGCCGATTCTGTCTTTCACCTAAATGCTTGCAAAGGCACCAAGGAAAGAGTGGTTAGAGTGGTTCGTGAAATCCCAACAGTACTAAAAAATAAACAACACATTGTTTTTATTTTTTTATAAAAATGCATTAAGTAGCAGCCTGGTTTCAGGAATTTTTGATAAAGATGAACAAGATTCTTTGTTGTTGTGAAGTGCATTTTATTATCATTGATGAATTTCCAGGTTTTGTTTGACTCTTGTTTCACAAACTGTTAACATTTAACAGTACTGGTTGTCAGACAACATGTGAACAGCGATGGCAGGATGGTCTGTGTTGGGAGTGGGAAGTTAGCCGGGGGGCCACTCCATCCTGCGTCCACCCAGGACGTGGATGTGGATGTGGTAGACCGACTGGCCTCCTTCTGGCCCATCATTGATGACAATCCTGTAGCCTTTAGACAGGCCTGCCTCTTGAGCACACTTCTTTGCAACTATCATCAAGTGGCCCAACAACTAAGAGACAGAGAGAGAATAAATAAATGACAAGGAGCTGAAAATACATATATGAAAACATAATCAGACAATCCCTGGATTACAACACAGTGTAAAGAGACAATAACTAGCCAGACATGCATTAAGACGGCTGTAAAGGGTTCCATCTAGTGGCCACTGACTGAGACAGTTGTTGGACAAATCAGGAAAAGTGGGAATAGGTCACAGTTTACAGTCAATATAAAAGCTAGCCGGTCATACAATCATACTTACTGCAGCATCACTATCCTCCGCTTGTGACAGTTGAACAATTGGCTTTTTTGGGACAACGAGGATGTGAGTGGGTGCTTGAGGAGAAATATCAGGGAAGGCTACACACTGAAATACAAAAGAATGAATCAATAAGAATTTGGAGAGACAGCTGTGGCTTTAGTTTACACTGAGTGACCAGAAAATTAGAAACATCTACATGATATAATGTAAAAAATGGTATCTAAATTATATAATATGATTATACATTATTAATAATATAATTAGCAGCCGGTATAATCAAGCAAATCTCCTACTGTGTTTGTTGTCAGCCTATATTAGAGGATTTCGCATTTGACTTCCATTTCTGGAACTTATATCAAATATAAAAACAATCATTTGGTTTGTTTGACCTTATCTAAATGTTCTAAACTGTCACTGCTCAAACACAGTGGAGCCTGTGAATCCCTCGGTTGTTATCGTCTGAATATGACTTGCTGGTAACACATGCAGTTTCACATTTTGACGCTTTTATTTGTCTTTACTTCACAAATGTTGATTTCATCATCCGAAACCACAGCAAATACTAATAACTTGCATTAAAAACATTTGCTGGGAGCACTGAGGAGCACACCGACTTCACCAAGAGGACTTGGTCATACCTTGGTGGGAAGCCAACTGTCTGCAGATGCCAAGCGGTAGCAAATGTAGACATAGACATAGAGATGACTAAACATGCAGAACAAAAAAGAAACCGCGGACAGGAACTTGTGCTTTTCACTGATTGTAATGTTTTAAAGCACATTTTCTGTACTCTGTCATGTTAGCCGTTTCTGCAAAGCTAGCGCGGAGCTAACATTAGAAAACGTCACCTGCAAGGCGCAGTATTCCCAAATATGTTTATGAGTGAAACTGTTTAATGCATACCTGGTCATCTTCATAGATTATGTTGGCAGGAATCTCTTTGCGTACGATTTTTCCAAATATCGTATCCCCGCCCGGCTGGGCAGCCTGCGCTTTAGCCATTTCATCAGCCATGTTGGCGCAGATGAAGCTCCTGCCAGCGCCGCTTTTGGCTCTGTGAAGCCACAGCGAACGCTCATTGGCTAAAAGAACGCGTCATTTTAAAGTCTGCACTGATTGGTCGTGAGCACTTCCTGCATTGCCGGAAGTAAGCAGAGAAGTCAACATGGGGACGCGTTTGAAGGTGAGGATGCGACATGGCTGTGTTTATTAAAACAATAACATTATTAACGCAATGTTTCGTTACAAAAATACATGTTTGCATGTTCTAATAAGAAGATAGCTAAAATGGCTGGAAATTGTTTGTGTCCACTGCCGCGTTAACAGCTGTACAGGTGCTGAAGTTGCTGAAAGTTTAATGTTTGTATAAATGCAGGTCCTAAGCGCGTTTAAAGCGCTGCACAGAACAAGGATGGCTGTATTTAAAGATGATGGTGCAGCACTGACAGGTAAGTTATGTAGTTGGTTGTGTTGATTCCCAGTAGAAGAAAATATTTGGCTATATCTTTGATGGATGCTGTTTACCAACCCTTACCAAACGGTACATAGCTTAATGCATGTAACTATTTTTCCCCTCGCAAAGCTGCAAGGTTAAAGATCAACGAGGAGTTCCGGAAAAACAGAAATGAAACATCAGAAGAAAACATTAAAAAGGTACATTAAAAGTGCAACAGAAAGTGACGAGATTTGTTATGTTATATATAACTGTAAATTTTATTTTGTAATAGGCCTACTTTGTCAGTTATGCATTTAAACAAGTATGTGGATAACCTATTCTATCATCATTGCTATAGACTCATGGATTGATTACAGAATAGGTCTCCCATGCACAGGCTCAGGGGCTCAATGAGTCAGGAGGCACCTATACCAGGGCCTAGCAGTGTTTCTTCTAGGATTTTTTTTCAGCAGCAGGGGCAGGACAAACAGCCCCCCCGCCTCCCCTTTCACAAAACAAATAAACTAGTATGAAGTGACATTTCTTGTAGGAAAGTCTATTCCAAAGAATTTAGATTTATGTTTAACCTGCAAAAGATGCACACCAGAGTGGGTGCTGCAATGTACGAAGAGGGGCATTTTACATGATTGTGCCAAGGGGCCCATTGTCTCATAATCTGTCTATGCTCTTTACCCTTCTGATTTTACAGATGATCAAAATGGGCTCAGATGTGGAAGCTGTTCTTCGAGAGTCAGTGTTACAAATGGAACATGTAGGAGACAATAAACTATGTATGTTATTATTTTTCCCTTCTGCTCCTCTCTTTTTCTAAAAAAAATGGAACAATGCTAGGATGTAACATGTTTATGTAACGAAAATACAACAGGAATCTTAACTTCTCTCTGACTTATAACATCTTAATGAGATGTACTTGCTAAGTTTTTTTTCTCTCTCTCACTCACAGTGCTTCGACCCAGAGAGAGCCTTCTGCTAGAAAATGTTCCCTATTGTGACCAACCCAAGAAAAAGTCATGACACACCATCTGATTACATCTTTTTCATAAAAAAGAGACTATTATCCATTACCACCTAGTACCCAAACAACATTTCAAGTTGATTTCCTGAACAAAGATCATCGCTACACGGACAAATCCCTGTTTCACTGAAGATCTCATCTGTTCCGCTTTATGAAATCTGTGCTTTAAACTGGATGCTGTATAGTATTTTGTTAAATGTTGTGTTTTCATTTCATTTGGAAATTTTCTGCCTACTTATGACAACTGAAGGAGGAAAATTTGTTGCTACTGAAGAATCTTTTTCATTGTGTTATGATTAAAGAAGTGTATTCCCAAACTGTCTCCGGTTGTATTTATTGTTCAAACCACTGTGGTGGTTGAAGCTCAGGGCAAAGACATTACATTTACATTTATTCATTTAGCTGATGCTTTTATCCAAAGCGACTTACAATTGCTATACATGTCAGAGGTCGCACGCTTCTGGAGCAACAAGGGGTTAAGTGTCTTGCTCAGGGACACAATGGTAGATGGGTCACAGTGGGGGATTAAGCCCGGGTCTCTCACACCAAAGGTATGCATCTTATCCATTGCGCCATTGCCACAACAAAGACCACAACAAATCCCCATTAAAGGTCTCAAAAAAAATGTATGGTTGCAGGTATCAGGGTCTTCTAGAATCAATGATCACATTTTATTGGATTCATTCTTTGTATTTTACAATATATTATATCAGTGATACCGTTATGACAGTTTACAGCAGAATAAAGAGTGATATTTTATTTAAATAAAACAAAGACATGTATTTTAACATGTTTGGCATATAACAGATAGTTGAACAAACCCAGGGATACAAGGTAGTTTCATATATGGAATTTTTTTTTTTCTTCATTACATTACATTTACTCTGATGTTTTTTTTTTATCCAAAGCAACTTACAATTGCTATATGGAGCAACTAGGGGTGTCTTGTTCAGGAGCACATTGGTGGATTTGTCGCAGTGAGAATCAGACCAAGGTTTCCCAAACCTAAGGTGCGTTTTTTATCCACTGCTCCATCGCAACTCTATTCATGGGACACACGGACTAACAACTACATTCTGTCCATAAATGTAAGTGACTGTGTCCTCAGAATTTTGTAGATATACCGTAGTCAGTACCATGGGGAATAACTAGGGCTTAGAGCTGGTGTTCAAAAGTTACTGAATTGCTTTATAACAAACACCCAATTTGCGAACATAAAAGACAAGAGACAAATTTAATATACTTAATATTTTAAGAGACAAATTTAATATACCCATTAGGAACTGTAAATTAAATCTCTAAAAGTGAAGTGTAAGAGTTCCATGGAGCTAAAAAAAAAACAAACACTACATTTCCCACAATGCCCATTATAAGGAAATTATAACGTCATTAAAATGCGCCGTTACTCTGGCAACGTTTGCAATTCCTTCGGCTTTAGCTAGCTTGTCAACTTTGTTTCAAAAATATCAAATCATGCCAAAAATAAGGTGAGCATAATTTTGTGTCACATACACAATAACTTACGCTGTTTATAGTTACTAGCGCTTTTGTCTCGTATTTGTCAGCTCAGACACGCTGTGGGAGCTGGCTGCGGCGGAGGTCCGGGAGACTGAAGGCGGGGAGGAGGACGGAGGAGAGACGGTCAGTGAGAGGACCGTGTTCCTGCTGGGGAGCAAGGCTGGGGTATGTTTACCGCCGTGCCAGACCGCAGACATTTATTACTTTATAATGGAAGCTCTCTTGTCTTCTACAGGTTATAACTAGTACGTTATAACTAGTAAACTCACTTTTGCTTTTTTCAGGGTAAAACGTCCATTCTCCTCAGATGCATCGACAGGTAGTAATCAACTCTCATCTCAAAATGAGCAAATCTGGCTTTACGATTAAACCAAACCTGCTCTTAACTCTCTTGATATTCTGTATGCAGACTAATGTTAAAGAGACAGTTCACCCAAACTCAATTAAACATGACAGTTATTAACAATAACGCCTTGAGCGTGGAAATTCAATCTTGACCTTTAGCAACATGATGCTTAATCTATAATAAAGCTCAAAGCTGCACTTGATAGTTCTCAAAGCTTTCAGCTGCAAGGTCTTCTTCATAGCATAGAGCTGATTACATGACAGAAAATGACACCTGAGGCAAATTTATTCACTAAAAAAGACAACAAGATTAGGTTGGCAGCACTAACAAATTGTTCTTTTTGCCTAGATTATGTTGTTAACACAACAATGATTCTGTTTTTTTATCCACCAGGGATGAGCCATCCAAGCCAACTTTAGCACTGGAGTACACTTTTGGCAGACGGGCCCGAGGACACAACACAGTAAGGAAGTCCTGGACTCCTGGACATGTCTCTTAAATAAAAATGGGACACATAACTGATAATCCTGATGAATTGTGCCTGCCTCAAACATCATATTTTTTATTCAAATTGATAAGAAGGAGCTATGTGAACAATTAACCCTTATAAAGAGCTGCAAAAGACAGTAAATTAAATTACCTCCAACTTCAGGTACTCCAACTCCAACCATTGAACACAGTGCACCAGACTTACTGTGAGAGTTGGTGTATTTAGTGTTTATGTGACATGATGTCTATTTACTCAGGCCTACTGGTTTTCTATTGTTTCAATAAATGCCTTGCTTCTTTGTAGTAAATGCTGCAGAAAATGTAGAATGTGTGTACCATTGCACATAATGTTTAATTATAATGAGATGGTGATGGTTTTCTCTTTCAGCCCAAAGATATAGCCCACCTATGGGAGCTGGGAGGAGGCACCTTTTTGTCAGACCTGGTCCAGATCCCTATCACTCCTGTGAGCATCACGTATGTCACTTACACACAGTTCTCAGGTCTTGTTGTCTCTTTCACAGTTCTTTGTTTTTCCGCTGTTGTGATTTATCTTAGAGTAAGGAACAGTGTCTGACATGTTCTGAATGTGGATATTATTATCATTTATGTTTTCTCTTCAGACTTTTATCTTTCTTCATGCCACTAAAGGAAGGGTATTTTCTTATCCTCGGTGCTGTACGTTCTTCTATGTATCCGCCCAGAGCACATAGTCCTTACTGTCTTTTCCCAGGTCTCTCTCTGTCATCCTCGTTCTGGACCTGTCTAAACCTAATGCCCTGTGGAGAACTATGGAGAAGCTGCTGCAAGCAGCAACAGCTCAGTTAGAGAAAGTTTCATCCCAGGCACAACAAGCACAGAAGGCCAAACCTGGAGCCAAACACCAGATGCCTGTCCACTCAGCAACACGCGTGTTACCCAAAGACTATCCAGTAATACCTCTGCTCATTACACTAGTCATTATATTAACATAGAAAAGGCTGCCAGTCCAGGGCAACATGTAGTCGCATATGAGAGTTGTGAAATGCATCAACTTAAAACAACTTAAAACAACTACAAATTAAAATTTGAAAATACCAATGCTAACCAACTAAACCAACATGGCAAGAACCAGCTATTTTAGTGTCAAAAGAAAAGTTCAACAAATCTCACCTCACTGTGTGAGTAACAGTAACAAGGTGATTGCTTGTTTTGCCCAGTGCAGACGTGAGATTATACATGTATTTCGAGTTAACTGTGACTCTGTCAACAGGATAGAGAGCTGATCAGTCCATTTCCTGTTCCTCTGCTCATCATTGGGAGCAAATATGACATATTTCAGGTAAAAGTTACATTGATGTAACTTATCAATTTGCTCACTTCATCTCCTTCTTGGACCCTGGTATAATATGTGTAATACTTTTTCATCTGTGTTGCAGGAATTTGACTCTGACAAGAAGAAAGTGATTTGTAAAACACTGCGTTTTCTTGCCCACTACTACGCAGCCTCTCTTATTGTAAGCGTCCAACATATTTACATTTAACATAACATTTTATTAAAACAAAATGCAAGTAGCACTTTTTAAAATTCATTTTTGCTTTTTATTTTTATTGAATCGATCGGTTCTATCAACTGTTGCTGTTACACTTTCCTGTTATTTCATATTTCTTTCTGTTCCTGTGCCTAATCTTTCCATCAGTTCACTAGCATCAAGTCAGAGAGCCTAATGTCAAAAACCAAAAGCTTCTTCTCTCATCTGGCTTTCGGTCTGGACAGAGGGTGAGGAGAAAAACACAGCATTGTACACTAGTTCACACTGATACAAATAGTTGTAGTGAACAAGGACTTGGACTGGCGTTCTGTAGTTTCTTAAAAACACAATTACCTTAGTGTTATCACTAATACTTTCCCAATTGCATTTCACTCATGCTTTACTAGGACTATAAGAAATAATACACACTTAAATTTTTCTCAAACATTTTGTGCATGTGATCTATAGTCTATTTATAAGAGCTTTTCAATGTTACTGTAGTGTTGATTTAATGCTTTGGTTTAAATTGTGTTTTGTCTTGTTTTTATCAATGTTTTATCAGGAAAACTTTGTCCTGTGACTCCACCAAGCCTCTTGTCATTCCAGCAGGCTTGGACTCTTTCAGTCAAATAGGTGAGCACAGCACCACTTGGTGACCAAAAGCAGTAAAGCATTTAAATGGTATTTAAATGCTATTGCTGTGTTGCAAGACATGCAGCTGATTTAGAGACAATTTCTCCCTTGATATTTGTTGATGTGAACAAGATTGTGTGATATTGTGTTTAAAATCATACCCCATTGCTTTAGGTTCCCCTCCTACAACTGATGTGGACATTACTTCTCTGCATGCCAAAAACCCAAAGGACCTCTGGAAGAAAGTCTACGAGCATGTCTTTCCCCAAGAGGTAGTTGAATCACTAGTGGCATCTTTGTCTTTATTCGTATTGCAAAATTTAATTGGACATCATATATCACATTGATTCACATTCACATCACACATTGATTGTGTGCGTACGTAAAATGCAGCATTTTACTGTCCTGTTTTCTTTTTCTTTGTTTTTAGATATTAACACTAATAACTTAGAGTGCTCTTTTGATTGTACCATCTCACACGGCTGATCCTCATTTAACAGAGCCGAGTAGAATTACAAGGATTAGCGTCCCTGTTTTGTCCGCTGTTAACTTGTTGACAGGGCCCGCTGTCAACCACTTTTACCAGAGTTTGTAGCGTGGACAATCTGGATTTACAGTGACGACTGTATCTAAGGAAGGGTTAGAGTCCTTAAGTGTTTATAAAGTGCAATTTATACTTCTGCGTCAAGAGTCCCTAAATGTTAAAGGGTTAGAGTCCCCTTAGGGTTAGAGTCCCTAAGTGCTAAAGGATTAGAGTCCCCTTAGGGTTAGAGTCCCTAAGTAACTTGTTGACAGGGTCCCGCTGTCAACCGCTTTTACCAGAGTTTGTAGCTTGGACAATCTGGATTTACAGTGATGACTGGATCTAAAGAAGGGTTAGAGTCCCCTTAGGGTTAGAATCCCTAAGTAACTAAAGGGAGGATAGACTGGGAGATGGGGAATCAAAGGAGGAAAATAAGCAAAGGTGGGAGATCTGCCTGTTTTTTTTCTATTTAACTTTTAAACTTTTTTATATTTCCCTGTTGCTTTTATGTTTTATGTAAAGCACTTTGAATTACCTTGTTGAAATGTGCTATACAAATAAACTTGCCTTGCCTTGCCATTTCCTTTTAGTAAGGACATCTGTAGTCAGTCCAGTTTAATGTATTTCTGTCCATCTAACTTTGTCTTTGCAGAATACCAGTGAGCAGAGGGAACTAAAGGATCCAGCCAAAGATCCACAGTACAGTGAGCCTCAAATTGATGCCATGAGGGCCCAGAAAGACCAGGTAACACATCTTGACCAATCACATGCATGCATTATATTACTTGCACATGTGTGAATACAATTGCAGATAACATGATTCTGGACAGACTGTGCCACTGCAATCAGTGTCGTGATGTATGTACTGTTGTAGTACTCGAGACCGATCTTGGTCTTGAGACCAGTCTTAAGACCACAGTTTGATGGTCTTGGTCTTGTCTTGGACTCGACTGCATTTGTACTCGGTCTTGTCTTGGTCTCGGACCTAAATGTTCTTGCACCATGCACTTAGACCATCCGCTATAGATCATTTAAATAGGGCCTTTAGAGTTAAAGGGAAAGAAAGTGACGGCATTCAAATTCACTTTTTGTTTAAATCAGCGAGTATTTTCTCACGTTACACTAGCTCTCCGTTTTGGGTGTGTTCTTGGAAAAATAATTTTTTTTCTACACAGTTCTGGGTCTGTAAATGGTAAACAGAAAAAGTGGCCTGGACCTTCACCACAACATTGTTCCGATCAATCGGCAACAGGTGGCGTGGAGTGATAGGAGAGAGAGTTCTATACACCGGCATATTTGAAAGTGCTGGACTCCATGCACTGTGAAGTAGGAGAGTATAAACAAGTTATATGACCAGGAAAGGGCGAAGGTGTTCCAAAGCTGGAGAAACCTCTGAGATTTGAAATTTAGCATATGCTCCAGAGTGCACAAGATTTTAAATAATGGTTATTTAGAAAACTTTATTTTCTATACAATATGAGTACCTTACTTCGGTTTAGTGAGGTCACAAAGTAAACACATATGGAAGCGGTTGTTGCGCTTCCGCTGCTTAAGCTATGCTAAATTAAATAAGAATAAGTAAAAATAAATACACTTCATTACAGAGACTTCTTCACTCTGCACTCTGCTCCACACCTGTCTTAAACAAGGGTAATGTTCCAGAGTAACCATTTGCTCTTCAATAACTTGTATGTAGTAGTATTTATGTCATGATCTAAGAGGCTGTAATATATAATGTGGTTATAACTTCAGAGATAAGTACTCTCTCTGCCGGCCTTGAACTTTAGTAACCTGGTGGAGTCATACTGTTATCACTGACTGAGTCTCACCTGATGCTGGTCATCTTGCTCTGCCATTGGGCATCAAATCATGTAATTGTTCTGGGTAACCAATAAAAGGAAAGGGGTAAAGGTTTATTCCAACAAGTATAGAGAAAGGTTTTGAATGCCTTTTTGCATGTAAGGGCAGATTGTAAATTGATATCCGTCATGCAAACTAGATTCCTGTCTTGCTAAGAGATAATATTATTCTAATCCACATGTCAGAGCTTGTGTACCTTCGGTCCCAGTTAGTGCCTCTTATCATTATCATCTGTTTCTCTGGAAGATAAATCCCTGTCATGTTGCAAAAATCCAGAAGGTCATTTAACAGCAGTTAAGCAACTAGTATCGCAGTTTTCAATCTATATTTTTTTTTTCTGGCTGCTGTAAGGTTTACTATTTTCCAATCCAATAAAGATCATTTCCAGAGTCGACCAATCTCCTTACTTGAAAGGCCCAAACTGAGACTAGTGTGCACCAAAAGGTGCCTTGTGGAGTTTTATTGTAAACAAACAAAAGTTATGTTTATATTCGGTGTTACTCACCAAAACACATTGTATGTGTATACTGCACTGTTTACATACATGTTTACAAGCAGCCTTCTTCTTTCCTGCCTTTGCTGTTGCATTACTGCTACCTGTAGATTTGTGAAATAGTGTGACACCATTGGCAGAAATGTCTATTGCCTCACCTAGGGCTTAACAATTCATCGAAATTCTATCATAATCGAAACTGCAATATGGATACTGGAATTTTCAAATCACAGGAGGTGAAATATTTGTTAAAGGTGATATGTGTGTCAAAATACCATTTTAAATTAAATATTGTTGTGCCGCAGAGATGTCCTGGCTTGCACAGCATATGCTAGACTTAAAAAAACATCTTTGTTTGGTACAGATCCCCGCAAATATCACACCATATATATATTATAAAATGTTTTTCAATGAAAATGAGAATAAATATTTAAAAATGATCCACTAGTATTGCAAATCATATCGCAATTGCTAAATCAGTCAAAATAATCACAATTATATATATATTTTTAAATCGTGCAGCCCTAGGGTCACCTGTGTGCACGTGTGCGTTCTTGTTACAAAACGGGATCCACTCATAAAAATTGCTCCATAGTGCTACTAGTGGTCAGTAACTCCCCAGCTTACATTTAAGTGAACATTTTTATATTAATAATATAGTATTATACACCCTTTAAAAGATGTTAACCATAAGGTCACAGCTTACCTTACTAAATGACTACTATAGTGGTACTATACATATTATAAACAGTAGAATGACTATATCAAAAATAACTCAGAAGAGTAGAGAAAATTGCAGATTTCTGGGTTACAATTATCTGACAAAATCATTACTGCATAAAATGCAGAAACTGAAAGAGGTTTTCAACATTTCTGTGGAATCAGAGTTCTTCATTACATAGTGTTAGTCTGCAAACCTACTTTTCCAAATCTAAAATGAAGCCTGAATTAATGTTTGATGTTTGGAGTCCTTGAACTGTTTGGATATACTGCAGTGTTCATCGAAATGTGTCACATGCTGCTGATAACATAATTTTATCTGTGCCCCCTATCTACATGTGTTTGACTGTGTTGGAGAACGGCACCTTGTTTACTATTACGAGTTAGCATTTTAGTGTTTATTCATTGCAACTTTTTCATTGTACTTCATTAACATGGAAAAAGTGTAATCTTCTCTCTTTCTGTGCGCATGTGTCTTTCAGGAGTTGGAGCAGTATAAGAGGAATGCAGCGAAGTCATGGAAAGGACTGGAGCTGGAGACATGAGAGATAATCAGCTTTATGGTCACACGCATCACATTAATATTAATACAGTATATATTTTGCATTATTTATTTCCTTTTGTGTCATTTCCTTTTTTACTACTTTGTAATTCGTACAACTTGTATAACTACAGATGTTTTCTCAAAAAATTTCAAACATAACAAAACTATTTGTATAACGATGATAAAGTGTATTATAAAAAATAAACAATTTTACATTATTACAATAGGCATCACTTTCTATTCATGACACATTACACTCACAATGTTCAAACAAAGGACATGGACAGTCTTCTGCTGTTCAATGATATACAGCAGTCCATTACTCAGTTTTGAATCAAACTGGCTTTTTCTAATTAAAGCTTCAAGTTACATGTAGTTTACATGTATCACTTTCTGTATATTTTTATGTAAAAATCATTAATTTGACATTAGTTCAAATATATGTTCTACTCTAAAACTGACTTTTTAAAGTATACAGGACCTTAGGTTGAATCTTTGCGGTCTGTCTCTCTCGTCGAGCCCAATCAATGTTAAAGCAGCAGGTTGATTTATGGTGCTTTTTAGTTGTAGGACCACTCAGTGGTTTAGCTTAATTACAATGGGTGTATCCCAGCCAGCATAGATTAGTCCTGTTGTATTGTACACCTTGCACCCTGAACTAAAAACAGAAGCTCTCATCATTGCTGTGAAAACGTTATTCTGTAAAGCTTTATCGTAAGTGCATACACAGAAATATTCCTTGAATGTCAGAGAAAAGGGTTTAGTGCAAACAGAGATGATACGTGTTAGCAGGAGCCACAGTGCTTTAGTACCTCACCTTCTCTGAATAACAAGTGGTGGAGTATATATACTCCAGCACTGTACTTAAGTACATTTTTGAGGTACTTTACTTGAGTATTTCAATTTTCTGCTACTTTATACTTCCACTCTACTACAATTCAGGGGGAAATGTACTATTGTTACCCCCTGCATGTATTTCATATCTTTAGTCACTAGTTACCTTGCATACAAATATAAAACAAAATATAATCAACAAATACATTATGATATATTATTATAGGTAAAGATAAGGCCTACTTACAAGCTACTCAGCAGTATATATATGGAAAAAAGGAATAAGTCCCACCTTTACCAGCTACAACATTAAAGTAATGCACACATTAATACGTATGGGCCATTCAGCATTTTTGTATTTAGTTCTTCTGTTCTTTTCCTTGCATGCAGGAATTGTCCTTGTAAAAAAGTATTTCTACACTGTGGTATTGCCTCAATTTATCTACTAAATATTTAAGTACTTGTTCCACCACTGATAACATCAGAATCTGAAGTCTAAATTTGTTTTAGATCTTCAGAACCAAATTCAGTTTAGCTTTCTGCTTAGGGAGAACTGGGAGAACTGAAGATTCTCCCACAAATATGTGTCTGTGGTTTCAGTGACATACAAGCCTGTCTCTGATCTTAAAGCTAATCATGCCCAGTAGCAGGAGGGCAGGCAGGAAGGAGTAGAGGAGAACAAAGTCTAGTGTGTATCGGGACAGAGCGCCAGGATAGCCCTCATCAATGATCTGATTGCCTTGAGTGACCAGACAGGCTCCCGGCAAAGGTTTGGAATTATCTGCAACAACACACCAGAGAGAGAGAGGGTTAACAACTGTCTGGTTTTAAAGACAGAACAGTCCTTTAATCAAACTAATACTTATAAGTGAATCTTAATAAGAGCAACAGAAGAATGATAAAATGTAAAACTGATAGGTAGAAAACAGAATCAGTGATTGCTGATAATCTTTAATCATTAATCACATACAGTATAAGTTAAAGCAAGCAGTGAATCAGCTGTGAATTAAATTTTTTGAATTGTAAATTTGATCATGGACTAGATTTTCCTACAGATGCAAAACATATTCCCAGTGTCCGCCAAAGGTAGTGATGCCAAGGCAAAGTACTTTAACAACATCAAACACTTTTCAGTCATAAAATAGTTTCCACAAATACCAGGTAGGTGAATTCAGCTAGAGTGGCAAAAATAGCATTTACACATGTTTTTGAAGAACTATTCATACTGGGACACATATAGTATGTGAGCTGCAAGTACAACTTGTAAATAGTCAAATTATTATGTGTCCCTTTCATTCTCAGGGTAGGTGGACACTGAGGATGACCCCATGATAGAAACAACTTACTGCATGTGAAGTCAAGTCCTTGGAACTCAGTGACTATGAGCAGCTCACAGCTGTACTTCTGGAAGGTCAGGTAGCTGAGCCACTGGAAGACCACCGGCATCTGCTGGGTACTTCTGTTGAGAGGAAGAGGAGAGGAAGGTGTGTTACCAGTAGTAGAACCACTATAATACTTTCATTTACAATGAAGACCTGAAAAAGTTGCCTTATTAAAAGGTCCATAAGGGAAAAAAGTTACTTAAACTTACTAATTACATTAAAAACATATTTGGTGTGTCACCTTAGGAAGCCAGATCCCACCACAATCCCTGCAATATTGAGCAGAGCAACTCCAGTGTTGACCATGTTAGGGTCTTGAACAACTCCTAATAACACCACAGTCAGGAGCTCACCTGAGGGAAAGCACAAAAAATTGTCAAAGAGTTGGCAGCACACTAGTTATAAAGGTAAAAGTTTTAAGAGTTATAGGATTTGACTCATGGAGATAAGTAGACTAGCCATGTCCGTTATGTACTTTGTATAATTTGGATAATTCTTTGCTTGCCCCTTAATCTTATCAGCTCACCTATAATATGTGGCACCAGGACTACAGCAGTGAAACACAGGAAGCGCAGGCTGTCAGGATGCATCCCCACCGTCCTAAGAGGAAAGCAGGCCGGGACATAAAATGGACAAAAGAAGAGTTATTGCTAAGAGAGGATGAGTTTATGTTGACAGTGCACAAATGGAATTTGTAATAATATGAGATCAATGAAATCCTTGAGGGAGGTAGAATACGTGGCTTGCATCCCCCAAACAGAAACGCATACGCACTTACTACCCACCAGTAAAGGAAGGAAGTGAAAATGAAAACACTCAGGATGCTGAAGGGCAGGATGTGGAAGATGTAGGCCAAGAACATTTGCCATTTACTGTACAGACCATCTTTACTCTCCTGGTCACTGATGGCTCGCAATGCCGGGACTAAGAGAGAGAAAGTGAGACAGAAGGAGAGAGCAGGTAATGTGATTTATATGAAATGGGAAAGAGGGGAAAATGTAAACACTGGCCACTTTATTAGGTACACCTTGCTAGCAACTGTCTTAATTCTTCGTGGCATACTTTCAACAAGGTGTTGGAAACCTTCCTTAGAGACTTTGATCCATTTTGACATGATAGCATCACGCAATTGCTGCAAATTTGTCGGCTGCACATCCACAATGCAAATCTCCTGTTCCACCCCATCCCATAGGTGCTCTGTTGGATTGAGATCTGGTGATTGTGGAGGCCATTGGAGTACACTGTCATAAAGGATGGACATGGTCAGCAACAATACTCAGGTAGGCTGTCGCGTTTAAACAATGCTCAATTGGTACTAAGGGGCCAAGAAAATATCCTCCACACCATTACACCACCACCAGCAACCTGAACCGTTGATACAAGGCAGGATGGAGTCATGCTTTTATGTTTACACCAATGTTTTTCCAATCTTCTATTGTCCAATTTATTGAGCCTGTGTGAATTAGCTGAAAGGAGTGGCACCCGGTGTGGTCTTCTGCTGCTGTTGCCCATCTGCTTCAAGATATGACATGTTGTGCGTTCAGAGATGGTATTCTGCATAGCTTGGTCCTAACGAGTTGAGAGATTTGAGTTTCTGTTGCCTCATCTCAACCAGTCTGCCCATTCTTCTCTGACCTCTGACATCAACAAAGCATTTTCGTCTACACAACTGCCGCTCATTGGATATTTTCTGTTTTTTTGGACCATTCTCTGTAAACCCTAGAGATGGTTGTGTGTGAAAATCCTAGTAGATCAGCAGTTTCTGAAATACTCAGACCAGCCCATCTGGTACAAACAATCATGTCATGTTCAAAGTCACTTAAATACCCTTTCTTCCCCATTCTGATGCTTGGTTTGAACTTCAGCAAGTTGTCTAACACTGTGTTGACTACGTCTACATGCCTAAATGCATTGAGTTGCTACCATGTGATTGGCTGATTAGCAATTTGTGTTAACAAGCAATTGAACAGGTGTACCTAAGTGGCAGGTAAGTGTGTATATAAATTATTAGGGTAAATTAGGGTTATAAAGACCAGAGCCAAGTACCTGTTATTTCCTATTCAGGGTTAGTACTTAAAGCACTTACACTTTGACGGAGCAATCATCTTGATTATGACAAGAGATGCAGCATTAAAACGAATAATGCGTATTGTTCTACACTATCATTAAAGCCACGCCCATGAAGACCAAAGGCCTCCAGGAGCCTGTTCCAAGAAGCCAGTGTACAGTTTTTTGTGGATATCTTGGCTGAGTATACCTCAAATCTGGCCTTTAGTCCATGTTCCAGATTTGCAGGTGTTCTTGATTAAATTCAGCAAAGTCAGTATAACTCTGGAAAAACTGCTGGTCGGCATTGTATATACACTGGTGCTGATAATTACCCTTTCCCTTTCTTTTCTTCCCTAACTTTAATTATAATTACCTTTTAACTCTAGTGTGACTTCTGCTCATCACATCTCTTATCCTCAGTATTTGTAACAACCAGAGCCCTAAAGCCAAGATTTTAGACTGAGCTGATAACCGAAGAAGACAGTGAAGAGATAATCACCCCATACAGCCTATTACCTTAAATATCCCATTGTCTCTGTCATCTTTTAACATACACCTCATGTATGAAATTAGGCCTAAACTTTTGAACATGTGTTTGACCCTGCTTAAATGTTTTTTTCCTGCTGTCTGCCACAAAAATTGTTGTCAAGTTGCAACCAACACAAAATACATATCACAAGATCATAAAACAAAACAAAAAAATCACCAATAGTAATCACATAAAGCTCATACTCTAAAACAACCTAAGAGGAGTTTAGAATCATCATACAGTAAAACTCATACAGCAGTGATTTATATTATCTTAAACGGACCAAAACTAAGCTGTTTTTAGCTGTTTCTCTTTCTCTGTATCCAAACTGTATATGCGTGAAAGTTTGTCTGTATTTGAGGTTACCTGATATGAGGTCACAGCAGCTGCTATAAATACTACCCATAAACTTGTTTAACACACAGAGACACAAATACATCCACACACAGATTATATAGATAGAGAAGGTACTGTAGGTCTGTAGGTCAAAAGGCACTTGGAGTGAAGGTCATCCCCCCGTTGTAGGTAGACTAAAACTGCAAATGCAAACAACAGAACCTCTCTAATAACCATGTAAAGCCACAGCAAGTAACACAAGTAAAATAACAAAAGGTTACACAAATCTTTATGCAAATACTCCTAAAATGAAAACAATTCTGACAGAATTGTTTTGTTTATTCTGACATTTAGCCACTTTTGTAATGATGACCAACCACAGTTATTAATCTGACCCTATGAGCCACTTTCACCAAGCAAAATCCAAGCTAGACTTTACACATTTTTGCTGAAGGGAACAAAAATACTGCAGACAGCAGACCCCTTTCACCTACTGAACAAGAGATAAGCAAGCTTACACAGCTGCGATAAAGGCATTTGAAACATGCTGTTTAACAAAGATAATAGATCACTTTTACTCAGGTGATAGACATGCACTTCATGCTCTTTAGAATGTCCCTCAAGTCATCGTATCCACCTCGTGTAGACGTTTATTGGGAGATGTTATCAAATGCAGTTAGAATGAATATAATGTAACCCAGACATTGTATAACTGCTGAAATTTGAGTTACTACACAGTTGCAATGGATATTCCAGTTATTATTTCCATGCATGTTAGCCATTTAATTTCAAAACTGAGACTGAAGACTCAGTGGTGTCATACCAGTACAGCACAAAGATGCTTCATAATAATGTTTTAGTTTTGTGTTTGAATAAGGACCCCTCTTTCAAAAACAACAACATTGGGTTTTCAGGTTATTGTCTGTTATTGTAATTTTTGTCCAGTTTAACTTTCCACTTGCCTAACATGTAGCAGCACTACAATAAATGTGTCACTTTTAAGTCAAGTTTTTGGAAAAAACAAAAACCTGGAGTAGATGTACATCTCTATGTACAGATGTATAGTGTTGGTGGAACTCACAGAGAGCTACAGCATTCAGCATGCCAGTGTAGGGCGAAGCACCAACGCTCTGATAGATGATGCCAATACGGTCTTGCACAGCACCCTTGTTGACGTCGTTGTCTAGATGCATCACAAAGAACGCCACAAAAAGACCGTAGATCAGGTTCTGGGACAGACGCATCAGAACACCCATCCTGTCTCTGGACAGGTTTCTTGCTGTCCTCCTATACACAAAACACACATGGAAATACATGGAAACACATACAAAGGCATTTGTCAGCAGCTGTTTTGCTGATCCTGGTAGAACAAGAACCTCTTGAACTGCCTAATTGGAGGTTTATATTACTAGGAATTCCACATTCTGTTTATAGTTTTAAATGCAAATAGATGCAGCAAGGTACTCAAGAAGAAAGAAAGAAGAAATCATCCAATAATTTCTGTGGTAGGCAGTAATTAGTTACAAATGATGTGTACACACACAAGGGGACTGAAGACTCGCTCAGCACTGACCTTAGCAGAACTTCAAGTTTGGCTGCACCGCTGGGTGACTCTTTGCTCTTAAAGGGGATGTCTGGCTTGTCTGATCGCTGCAGGCTTTGCTCCATTTTGCCCAACATGCCCTGGTAGATGGTAGACCTCTGATAGGATGAAGTGATCTCATGCATGCGACTGAAGGTGGCCGTCTCCCTCTCACTGCTGCGTGTGTCCACTGAGGTGAAGTCAACTGTTTAACATCACAGCAATTGGAGTGTTTTAATGTCAATGCCACACAGATGTCAGTCAACGTTTCAACATAGCTGTGTGGCTATAATATAAATATACAGTACATTATCCGGGATCATAGCATACAGTACCGTAGATGTCAAAGGGGTTGCAGTACTCTGGACACTCATATCCACATTGGCTGAAAAAGTCCACCATCTCTTCTGGCTTCCCACAGAACACCAGCTCTCCACGACTCATTATAGCTATCCTGCTGAACACCTGGGACACACACACACACACACACACACACACAGAAACAGAAAGCAGAAACTACTCAGCTTTTTGCTGTTAAAGGAAATGGTTAAACATTTCAAGTCTGAAAACAACACTCACGTGCCATTGAAATAGGTTTTGTTTAAAGTAATTGTTTCTTCTGATTATAATGGCAGAGAAGGACTGTCTTCCTTATGTAATTCCAAAGTAAGAGATGGAGAACAAAAACCAAAGTCCTCGTTGTAAGTAAAAATTACTTCTAAAGTTCAGCTATAAAGTTAATGAATTTAATAAATCAAAAGTTAATAAATCACTCTGATTTAGACAAATAAAGTGGAACAGTCTTCCAAAGTTACAGTGTAAAAAAGGCTCTCTGTGTTTTATTTCTCCAATGCAGCTCATTAAGGAAATGTTGTCTGTGGAAACAAAGAGAAGAAATTAAATACTTAAGAGGTTGTAACTTTGGGAAATACCCTCTTGATTTAACTAACTTGAACTTCTGAAGCCTCATATTAGCTTCAGCTTCATCGAAGGACTGTGAACTTTGTCCACATCACTTAAAATAAAATTGCATTAGAAAGGGATCTCTCCATGGCCAGTATGGACAGGAAGAACAATCACACCAACCAAAACCTGTTTAAAAGTACATATGAGGATTGTTTTAAGATAAGACTTTAAGTTTCAATCTATTAGTCACTCTTTCTCCTTTCTTCAGTTTATATCAAAACCCACCCTGAAGAGCTCGGAGCGAGGTTGGTGGATGGTTACTATCACGATACGGTTCCTCCTGGCCAGCTCTGCCAGCAGCACCACAATCTGATTGGCGGTCATGCTGTCCAGGCCAGTGGTCGGCTCATCCAATAGGATCACCCCTGCAATGACATAATCACCCGCATGCAGGCTTGTCACACATTGAAACACTGAGAACAGGGCAATAACTTTTTTCCTCTTTTAAGTTGGAAACTTTTAAATGTACTTTTTATTAAGTGGCACATGCAGGACTCTCAGTGGGGCCAACTTAACTTGTGAAGATAAGTCAGTTCTTTTTTCTTTTTTTAGTTAATTACTCTAATTAGGACAATTAAAAGATTGCCTCTTTGCATTATGAAAGCAGAGTGGAATTAGCAGATGCTTTAATTGTGAGATTAATTCATTTCCTGGTTGACTGGAGAGGCAGCAAATGGGAACTCCTCATTACTCTGTGTGTGTGTGTGTGTCCATGGCCATTCTAATCCTGAATGAGGACTGAGACCCATCATCCTCCCTGGAGGACTCCAGACCTGATAAACTACACCTGGGATGAGCACAGGCGAGCGCGCGCGCGCGCACACACACACACACACACACAGGTGGGTCTGCTCATTCCCTTCGTGGTGTGATAACCCAGTCTTTCATTACTCTCATAACTTTCATAATCTCTCCCTCTGTCTCTTTCTCTGTCCTGTCCTTATTCCTCTCTTACTTAGATCCCTTTGTTTTTCTGTGTGGACTTCTAAAACTATTATACGAGAGACAGATCCTGTGGTGAACTTTCTTCTATTCTCAGTCCTGCCTCCAGTCATGTTGCTTCCAAAATTATATGAAATATAATGTGTTATATGTGTGCAAAACATTGTGGACATCTTTCTGATATTGTGTTACAGCTCCTTTTGTATAATCTGTGTCCCATGTGTCTAAAAGCTTAAAAAAAATCACCTCTAATGCCTCCGTTTATTATCTACTCAGTCTCTCCTAATTTGAGTTCTATAAAGCCTTAAGAAGTTAAGGGATAATGGCTTTTACCTTGATTCACCTCATCATCATGATTTAAATTTGTAGCAATAGCACCCTTTAGAAGTCTGATGTTCGTGATACACAGATAAAACTGTATGTCTCCTCACACAAATCCCAGCTGCAGTTACTCACTTGGGTCCTGAAGCAGCTGGCCGGCAATGGAGACCCTTCTTCTCTCGCCCCCAGAGATCCCCGGGAAAACACGACCTCCAATAACGCTGTGGGCCACGTGACTCAGACTCAGCTCGGCCATCACCGACGACACCTGCACAGGTGCCAGAGGTCAAGGGTCAGGTGACAGGAGAATTACTAATACTAACAATTCAGCTGACAAGGGCCTACTGAAGTTCTAGTTAGTGCAATTAATGAGTAGTTGGAATATTTTCTGAGCAAAGGACAGGGCCAAGAGGATTACATTTGCTTTACATCAAGACATAATAAGGAAATATTGAAATAAAGGAAATCGGAAAAAGTATACATTTTTATTTTTAAAATGAAAAAATCGTGAACATAGGCTACAAGTGGCTGTTGACTTTCTTGAAATCTGCCTAGATAGCCTTCTTCGAAAAGAGAGGAGATTTTGCCAAAATGGTTAACACACCATCTGGTTGAGTTTAGGTGCTGTAAGCTTTCTTTGAACTTACTGTGACTTATAGCCAAATACACAACATATTAATATCTTAGATAAGCGCCAATGCTGCTGAAAACCTTGTAATGTGTTGACATCCTAAATGATACAAATTCTGCTTTAAGAATCATCCTCTCTGGGTCTACATTTGTCTCATTTTTGTAGTTTCTCCAGCAGGGTGAATGCCAGGTTTAGACTAAAGAAAATTGAGAGAGAAAATAGAGTGGACAGAGCAGAAGAGGCTCTCAAAAGTGACCTTCTTCTTGATAGCTGCGGCTGAGTGTTTCCTCAGAGCCAGCTGGGCTGTATAGGTCAGAGTCTCCTCCACTGTCAGATAACTCAACAAGTTATCACTCTGGAAAAGAAAGACACAAAGAAAGAGTAAAAAAAAAAGACAGTCTCTCTTACAAGAGAGAAGAGTAACAAGATTGTGGAGAAAAGGTTAAGACAATGCAAAATACACTGCTACTAGTGAAATTACTTATTATTTCCGCCAAGAAGCATTTATGATCACGTCCATCTTCCTTGTGTGCTTTTGGTAGTAATCAAGCTACAGAATATCTTCATCTTAACTTGGTGTTTCGATGGTGTGACTGGCGTGAAATTAGCAGAAAGCATCTTAGCACCAGAAAAGTGAAGGTTTCAGAGCATTTATCTACAGCAACTTTGCTGTACATTGCTGCATCCACATAAGACACATACAGCAGTATACTGTGTATCTGTATGTTCATATATGCGTGTGCAAACCATCTGTAACATACCTATACCCCAAATACATACAAGCACGCACGCACGCGCGCGCACACACACACACACACACACACACACACACACTTACACGCAAACACACAAACGCACGTACACACACAAACGCACGTACACACTTTCATTGCTTGAACCTGCTAAACCTCCTGCCTGCCTCAATTAACACGTGGCGCCTCCCAATCCCACTTCTCCTTAGTCTCTCATCTGAATGACTTTAATATCAGGAGCTCATATCACCTCCTCATCTACAGCTTAGCAGGGGAAGTTAATGACGAGGCTTAGAGAGCAGAGAGGGGGTGCTATCAGCAAGAGGAGAGAGATGATTTGAAAGGAAGCAAGGCCAGTTTTAAGCCAGTGTTTTTAATTCAGGCCTTGGATACACTTGAGCACCTCTCATTGAGAGATTAAGTGTATGAGGAGGCTAGCAAGGGTCTTTAGTTAATTTCAACCAGAGGCCAGGGCAACCTTTTCAGGAGTTTTTGCAAAATGGTGTGTGTTCATTGAGTTTGTGGTTTGGTATTCATGCCAGTTAACCACATGCAACTTGAATACATGCAAACTCTCAGCATGCAGCCACTCACATGTGATACTGTGGAGCAAAGTTGAACTTGATGTCGGTGTGTGATAAGAACTGGGGCAATGCATGTGCATGCATGTGATTAGGTGCATACTAAATTTAAACTTCTGTTCAGTCTCTTTATTCATGTGATGGCAATCTTTCATTTAACACTGCAGCTTTAAACATTGTTATTGATCATGAGCTATTTGACTCATTAGGGTGTGCTTAAGGTGCAGCTTGAAACACCTAGAAAATTTTATTTATTCCTACAAATTGTCTTTGTTTTCTACTGTGTGTTTGGGTTTTTGTGTGTGTTACCTGCAGTACATAGGAGAAGCAGTCCTGGTACTCATCTCTCTTCATTTTCCTGCCATTAACGAAGATCTCACCCAACAGCATACCATGGTTTCCAATCCTCCCTGAGATGGCATCCAACAACGTGGTCTTTCCTGAGCCTGTCCAATGCAAAGTGCACACACACACACACACACACAGTAAATACAGAAAAAAATTTGATAGATAGATAGATAGATAGATAGATTAGACTAGGTGTGAACCTGAATTGCCCAGTATGCCCATTATCTGCCCACTGTCTACGTGGAAGGAGACATCATTGAGGATTTTACGAGTCCATCGCTTCTTGTAGGAGGGTAAGTCCCACCAGGGACCCACACGCTCACTAGAACACAGATACAGGGGCATTTTAAACATTCGCAGAATCAATCTCCTCTGTAAAAATTATCATCATTTGATTTGAAAGTATGCATCAGCGATATGCAGTGTGTTTCATTTTACACTACATAGACAAAAAGTTGCAAGTTTCATGTGCTATCTGTGTTACACTCATATTTCTGCTATTTCATTAGAAATTAGATTTAGACTCCATAAAGTGACAGATAATTCAACACAAACTTGCCTGCATGTATGCAGAATAATATAACATCTGTATATTGTCATCTAGTTTGCATGTCTGTCTCTCAGTCATCCTCTTTTACACTCTGTGTTTTCAGTATTTACCTGACTGTGTAGGAGATATTGCTGACACTGAGACAGCAGGAGGGCTCTGATGGCTCCTCTCCACCGTCCCTCCCTACATCCGTCTTCACCTCCGACGCAAACTTGAAGGACTCTCTAACTTTAGTCCCGTTCTCTGGCTCCACCGCCTCCATGGAATAAAATCTGTTCATGTCTCCCGCCTGTCTGCTACTCCAAACAACAACCGCAATAAGTCCGTCTCAGATTAGTTTGTCCATATCCATACATATGTGAAGCTCTGAAGTTGAGCTGTCTTACAGTCCCAGACTTTGTTTCTCTGCACCCATACCCTGTAAAGAGCAGCAATGCGAGAGCAGTGGTGTCTCTCAGGTACCATAAACACACAGTTGTGTTATCTCAGAGAACTTTGATCTGGAGTTAGAATACAAAAAACACACATGCTAAGTAGATTGACTGTCTGTCAGTCTTTCCTCAGTCCTCAAATTGTGCACTATGGAAAAGCTATGACTGACAGGACAGAGCAGATGAAGAACGTGACATGAACATCAACGTTTTGAGAGAGAAGGCTTGTGAGCTGAGACAAGAGATCTTCAGCCAGACTGGAGTCAAACTATCTAACAGAGCGAAGAAACGGAGAACAGGGGAGCAACAGGAGAGCAAATAAGGCAGATACCCTTAGAGATAAAAAGAGAGGAACCGAACAAGAGAAGAAAAAGAGGGGCGTTGACCTCTTGACCCTACAAACGTCAACCACCAACTTGCATCATCATGGACACAGATACTGGCCTCAATCATACAAACGGCTCTTCACAGGTTAGTCTCTTACACTGAATCACACAAATTTAATTTTTGTTTCCAATTTTTAGCTCACTTGAAGGGATTAGTTTAAAGTCCCTCTGATAATATACTTTAAAACCGTGTCAACTTTCTGATGATTCCTTTCATCCCCCACCTACTCACCCACTGAGCTACTTTCTGCCTGCTGCATAACCACTAATTTTATTAATTGAACTTTTTGTGCCTAATTCATATTACAATGTGGATATGTTGCTGTAAAGAGTCTGGTTTGATTGAGGGCATTTTCAGATTTTATTTTATTTTTTTTACTGTTGCTGGAAGTTTTTTTTTAGTGTGGTAAAACAAGCAATCACTTACAGTTTCCCTTAACTTATGACCTCAATTTGAAGGAGAAAAAGTCTAGTTTATTTTTTTTAACATCAACTTCAAGAAAAAGGGCACACAGAGAGCACAGACCTCTGGCGACCTATCTCACAATCCGCCCAGTGATCTGGATCTGCTCCAAAATGAAATTGGGTCCACCAAGTTTCATGAAAATCGGGCCAATAGTTTTAATAAAATAATTGCTTTAATATTTAGATTAATATTTCTAGTCAAATATCACATTTATTTATATTTTATCTAAATGTTATTTCAATATACACTATTTTAATAGTTATTTTATGAATACTTATGTAAATGTATTTCCATTTCTTTGGCTTTACAGAAGAAATAAATACTTCATTCGTCTTTGACAATTGATGTATATTAGGATTAACTTCTTTTTTGTAATTTTTTTTTTAATCTATACTCAAAAATACACACTACAAAACTTTGCCGATTGAATGTGACTCATTATGTTCTAGTTTTTATATATGTTTTCCAGTTTCCAGTGAATTTAGAAAAAGCATGCTCTACTAGACCTGGACAGTTTCTCTAAAAAAATCATTACTCTAATTATTTAAGTTTCATTTGAAGTCTGGTTTAATGGCATTGAAGACACATGGTTTCCACCTCTTCTACTTTCCTATTTCATTTACCACATCTGACTAGAACTAGTTCGAACAGCAAGAAGGGCTTGAAACTGGATGTTCATGTCACTAGAATACATATCAGCCATTTTACGTGACATCTACGGTATATACAATATAACATACAGTGTAGTGCACAGTGTGGACAGACGTTTTGGCATGTGCTGTATTTTTAATCGTACATTAGTGCTTTTATTGGAGAGATTTAACGATTACATAATGGCAATATTAGGGTTGTTTTCAAATGGACCCTGGACCCACAAAAGGCTTCCAGCAACTATTTGCACGTACAAACCCACAAAGAGATGCATGCCAATACACACTCACGCACACACATTCGCACACAAGCTTAAACATGCTCACATGCTCATGCATGCACATATTTATCATTAAATAAATAAGTCATTAAAACTGTCCAATAAACTAGTTGATAAAGTTCATCTTCTGTCATTTCTATTGGCTTGATGGCTTATTGCCATCTAATCTACAATCTGTGGTTTTCTATGTAGTGTCTGGTACAGGAGCACTAACGTGTTCCTCCATAGGTTCCCTCATACATCTTGTAAATCTGTAATTTTGAACAGAAATTTTACAAAACTGATTAATAAAAAAGTTACTATTTTATACTCTATTATTTTATTGAAGCTTGTTCTTTCAAACTGATATGGATACAAATAAAGACTTCAAATAAGTCCTTGCCTCTGTGAAACTCATTGACCTGTCCTCTTTAGCAGCATCAAGACACAGAGTTGTTCTCGTCTGAAGAAGACAGCAGTCTCTACTTCACCTACAGTGGAGGGTGCAATGAGCTGGAGGTCAACGACCTGCACTATGAGGTAACTGATGGACAGCAGCTCTGCTCTGAAACGGAATCATCTTTAGCTTTTAACGGTCCTCTCCATGTGTGTGCATGTCTGTACTGTGTATGTGCAGGTTGTATGTGCTCACTGTGTAAATGGTTTGTGTGTGTTCCCAGGTGGACACAGCTGCTCAGATCCCCTGGTATGAGAGGTTGTCAGAGTTCAAGTTGCCGTGGGAGATAAAAGGAAACAAGCAGACAGCCATCAACAAGCTCAGCCTCCGAGTCCGCAGCGGGCAGATGCTGGCCGTCATTGGCAGCTCAGGTGACACACACACACAAACACACAAATACGCTTTTAAGTATTACTGTTTCTAGGTAATAAATGTATTGGCCTCCTTGGGTAATGTCATTCATTCCACCTGCCTGTCAAAGGACCTCTTGTCAATCAAATCTTTATCTCTCTCTCACTCAGCACTCAGTGTGCATGAACTAGAAAGAAAAGGAAGCAGACACTATATGTGACTGAACATATAATTAAAAAATAAACTCCAGGCCTTAATGCAGAAAAAGCTAATCGGTGTCTTTCCTCATACTATAGTTTTTTAAACCAGGACACACTGGGCAACGTTCAGACATTGAAAAGACTGTAGAGGTTAAATAATAATTCAGGTAGGCCATCACAAAAGGCATTTGAAAACAACCTAAAAGTTTGTGCCTAAGTTTGGGATTAAGTGCTTAAAGTAATTTCAACACTATATCGGGGACTTAAGAAGGTTAAAATAGTCAGTGCCAAATACATAATGTAAAAGTGGGAAAGAGAAACAATTGCTTTCCAGAGGAAGTGTGGACAAATAATGGTGAATTTCAATGGAGGATATTAAGCTCAACCTCATGGAGACTATTTAGATGGAAGAGTCTCCAGCTACTGGAGGGAATTTTGGCTCCCTGGAAGCAAATAGCTTTTTATGGGCCTGTCCAAAAGTAAATACTTTTTGGCTTAAGACTTACACAGGATTTATTAGTGACTATTTTCAGGACAAAAATGACTTTAAGTGGGATGAACTCATTTTTTGGGATTCCACACTCAACATCTATAAATATTAAAATAAGATACTTATTTGGAATACTGAGTGTAGCTGCTAGAAAAGCAATTACAAAGAAATTTCTTAAGCCAGACACCACATCTATAGAGTTTTTGTATGATATAATTTATAACATATTTGTGATGGAAAGATGCTTTAGAAAACTTAATTTAAGGAGATTTTGAAGGAGTGGAAAGCAATTCTTCTGTTTACTTTCTGCTTTCTTTCTTATCTAACTAAAGATGACTGGGTAATTATGTGATTCCAAATAAAGGTTAACAAAAAAGCAAGAAAAGATCCGCTATGTTTGGAGTCAAATCAGTAAAAACCATGGACATATTTCCACTTGTATAGTGAGTTTTGTTGGTGGTTTTTCTGCCTTTAATACGTAATCATCTTCTCCCAGGTTGTGGTAAAACATCTTTGCTGGACATAATAACATGTCGCGATGAGGGCGGTACAATGACGTCCGGCCAGGTTCTGATCAACGGGAAGCCCAACACGCCCCAGCTAGTGAAAAAGTGCATCGCTCATGTCCGCCAAGACGACCGCCTTCTTCCTCACCTCACCGTCCGTGAAACTCTTGTCTTTGTTGCCAAATTGAGGCTCCCCACCCACTTCACACAGGCCCAAAAGGACCAGAGGGTAACATTAAGCTTAAGAGACAACCGTGACCATATACAAACAGGCACAGACTGTACGCACAATGAAAACATTATAGTCTATTCTGAGACTAATAAAACCAAAAGGTCTGTGTTAAACAAACACTCACCACAAACTTTAGATATCTTTATTGGGACCAGATATGATGTCAGTGAAGTAAGATGAAATACTAAAGATAAATGATGAACTGTTCTGACAGATGCTACCTTTGACAAACTCTGTCTCTTCTGTTTTCTGTCACAGGTGGATGATGTCATCGCTGAGCTGCGGCTGCGACAGTGCGCTCACACCAGGGTGGGAAATGATTATGTGAGGGGTGTTTCTGGAGGAGAGAGGAGGAGAGTCAGTATAGCTGTTCAGCTCCTCTGGAACCCCGGTGAGAGAAAAACCTCATAAACTCTTGAAATTTTCCTCTAAATTTTGACCTTTCACTTTCTTTACATCCTGACAGCAATTTATAAATCAAATGCTCTGACACGCCTAAGTCTACCTGCCTGTCTACCTACCTGCCCACACTGGCTGTGCACTCATTGTGCTTGTTGTGTGTGTGTGTGTGTGTTTGAGGTTTTGCTTTTTCACATTCAACACGTGTATCCCCTGTTAGATAAAATAAAATTACTAAATTACCATTCAGCCTGTGCCTGGAAAACACCAAATTTTAGCTTTGGAGGATTTTTTTTACAGGCAGGTAGTACTTAATTGCTAACTGTGAAAATAATCACGTGAGAAAACAATTCTATCAATAAACAACAGATATGTAATTGGTTTCAATAACACCCAGGTTTATAGTTAGCCTATACATTCCAGCCGTATGTTTCAGTACTACATCATTTTCTGTGACACAATATTTAGATGTAATATAGAATACAATTAAAAATAAGAGGTTTCCCTCCCCATTTTCAAGTATTAACCACCCGTCTGTCTGGCATTTTGTAAACAGTTGTTTATTTAAATAAACTGTCCTGATTAAATGAATCCCAACAGATTTTCTGGAGCCACAACCCCCTAACCACCAGTGGATCACCAAAAATAAGACGGAAGAAGACATTGCAGGCAAGCAGTTGCTTGTGTCTTTTTATGGATTATTGAATTGTTGTTTTTATATTTCAGGTATTTTGATCCTGGACGAGCCCACTTCAGGTTTGGACAGCTTCACTGCTCATAACCTGGTGATCACACTGTCCCGCCTGGCCCGGGGAAACCGTCTGGTGCTGCTGTCGGTCCACCAGCCTCGGTCAGATATCTTTCAGCTCTTTGACCTTGTTGTCCTGCTGTCGTCGGGTTCAGCCGTTTACTGTGGCGCTGCTCGTGACATGGTGCCTTACTTCACAGCCCTGGGATACCCCTGCCCACGATACTGCAATCCCTCTGACTTCTATGGTTAGTGTGTGTGTGTGTGTAAAGCAGTCAAAACAGCATTTAGTGGTGCTTCTTTTCAGCACCCAACAATGTCTGAGAGTTGTTATCACCCTCACACTCACTGGTAACTTAGAAGAAATTTAGGACCAAGAAATGTAATACCATAGTGGTTTGGGCATTGCAACCTTTATCTGCCTTTAACTCTTGAAACATAATGATAATAATAATAATAATAATAATAATAATAGCTTTATTTGTGTAGGACTTTAATACAGGTAACAATGTGCTTTACAGCAATTAATGTAAAACATAGACCAGAATAAAGCATAAAACAAGTCAATGTTAATTTAAAGGAAAATAAACAAAACATAATATACACAAATAATGGAGAAATAAAATAGTCATCACAATATTGAATGTTTTTTTGTATAAATGATGTTGTCGTCTGTGTGTGTCCAGTTGATCTGATCAGTATAGACCGGCGCAGTCCGGAGCGAGAGGCCGAGTGTTTGGAGCGGGCCACAATTTTGTCTGAGCAGTTCATGGACAAGGTCCGAGACACAGAAGATCACATGTGGAAACCAACTGGGATTGATGCGGCACTGACCCAATCTGAAAAGTAGCCATGTGTTTGTGTGTGTAATTGGCCTCACTTTTCCTCGTCTATACTGATATTTTTCATCAACTTTTCTCTTGTTTTCACATATCTTGTTCACAGTCTCTTTCTTTTATCTACTGTATTTCTCCTCTCATTACCTCCCTTCTCCCTAATTTAACAATAACATAACTTTTTATAAAGGCGGGGTTGGAGTCTCATCTAACAGCGTCTTAAACTTAAATCTATGAAGTACGCATGTTTTTAAAAGAAGAAATATTTCCATAATATCACTTTCCAGTGACCTGTCTGAGCAGCTGCAGGGGCATTTGTTGGGTTGCTTTTCCAGTGAGAAAGAGCCAGTGCTCTGCCTGGATGACAGGATTGTTTTAGAGGGCTACCTTCTCGACTTTACACATGATAATTCAACTTTCTGACCTCAACTGTGTTTTGTGTAATTAGAGGCAAAATTCTTGGTGGTAACACAAATAATTGGCAACAAAATTCAGGACATTTAAAGTTTATTTCTAGAGATTTGTCCTTTAATGTCTATAATTTATGGGAAAACTGGTTCCAGTGTGCTAACCCAGGCAATCTGATCCACTGTTTTCCTGCCTGCAGCCCTCAGCGGCTGAGCGGGGTAAAAGGAGAGGAAGTCATCACTATTTCCAAGCAAAGAAACAGTCTGCCTGGCAGGCTACACCAATTTACCATCCTCATCAGGTAAGACCAACACACAGATGTATTACAGCAGTGATTCCTGACCTTTTTTGTTTCTTCTCTGTACCTTTGTAACTGGATGTTATTTAATACTGTCTATATAACACACAATGGTCCTGGAACTTTTTGTACTTTTACTACTTTTCAATCATTTGTCCATTACTTTTCTATTTATTTTGACTTCTCTGCTCAGTGCAAACTAGTTTTCACGAACTCTCAATTGCAGCAGGTGGCATTCAGGTGTTAGAATTGATTCAGGTTGGCTCATTGTATCTGGTGATTTACTGGTTATTGTGATAATAAATATACTAAAGATCAACCTCACACCAACTTGTAAGTTAGATTTTCTTCAATGTAACTGAGCTACTTCACAGTCTTTGCAACTACCCCCTGGTAACTGCAGAAGTACTATTTTACAGCAGTTAAGAGGGAAAAATATGAACACTGTCCTCTGTTCCTTTCTTCTCCCTCAGGCGTCACATGTATAATGACTTTAGAGACCTGGTCACCCTATTGGTCCATGGCTTCGAGGCCCTCCTCATGTCATTGCTGGTCGGTTGTCTCTACTATGGGGCAGGAGAAGAGCGTCTGTCCATTCAGGACACAGTGGCCCTCCTCTACATGATCGGAGCTCTTACCCCATTTGCTGTGGTGCTGGACGTCATAGCTAAATGTGAGTAATTGCAGCTGTGTGGGACGATAAGAGTCAAAGTCAGTTTGCAAATTAGTTAGGTAGTTAATAAAGTGCACATTAAAATTATTTCAACTGCAGTTAAAACCAATTTTCAGTCTCAGCATTTAAGCATATAAAACTGAGACAGGGTAACATTTTGAAATGTTTTTGTTTCTTTGTTTAAAATGATTTATTGATTTTAGTGATGTTAGAAACATGGTGTACAGCACAATCATTATAAATTAATTAGAATGGGTGACACAAACAGCAAAACTGTTTCCATTTGCAAAATAGAAAAGGCATGCTCCAAAAGGTGTTGTGTTCTCAAAACTCTTCATACAACTGCGTTTTTTAAAGTACTGCAACAAAGAACTCTCACTCAAGACAGCAAAACAACAACAGACCTTATTCTCAAAATTATAAGTCATTTAGTGTTGATAACCAAACAACATCTAATTTGCAAAGCTTTATTAAAAGCATTGCAACTTACTGTACAAACTGAAACAAAAGAATAACAGTGAAAATACACACATTTTATAATATTTGTGTTTAAATGAAAGAAAACTGCAGGAAAAGAACCAGAAATCATTAAAAGTTAAGTGAATGCATTTGAAGTTTTGATCACTGCAAGGTAATATGGTTCTGAACAGCTTGACAAAGTTATTAAAGCAAAAGTAATCAACAAGTTATCAGCCAGATCTGTGGGAGATAGGCCAACAGCCATTAAGAGTCAAGTTCAACTCAGGTCAAGTTACAACAAAAGTAATAATAATATAAAATTGATTCCAAGTACACTTATGAGTCAGAGATAAATACTCTGATATAGAAGATCTCTGAAAAACTTCAAGTTACACAATACTGCAATTCAAGCTGGAGCTGGAGCATCTCTGTGACTTGTGATATTTGTCGCTGTGTTGTTTATCAGCTGACACCCAACAGAATAACAGTTACAATCTCTAAGGCAGTCTGGTACCAGAGGTTATAATGCTGTATCTTGTGAGTCTACTAACTTAATGTTCTCCGCAGGTCACACAGAGAGAGCCATGCTGTACCATGAGCTGGAGGACGGCATGTACTCTGTCACCTCCTACTTCTTCGCCAAGGTAAGCCACAGTGATAAAACTGCATCTCCAGCAGGGGTCAGTCTCACTCCATGGTGGAGTCACACTTCAGTGACGTACAGTACTGTAATGTGGTGTTGCACAGGAAGATATGATGTACTGTATGTGTCTGCTTGCAAATATATCAGCCAGGATTAACACTAAATATGTGTGTGTTGTCTGTTCTGTTAATTTGAATGTATGCTTTCTCCACATTCAGGTCCTGGGGGAGTTACCAGAGCACTGTGTGTTCACCTTGGTGTACGGCCTGCCCATATATTGGCTGGCCGGGCTTAACGAGGCTCCGGAGCGTTTCCTGCTCAACTTCCTGCTTGTGTGGCTGATGGTTTACTGCAGCCGAGCCATGGCTCTGTTTGTAGCTGCTTCGCTGCCCACCCTGCAGACCTCAGCCTTCATGGGCAACGCCTTGTTCACTGTCTTCTATTTGACTGGAGGTTTTGTCATCAGCCTGGAGAATATGTGGCTTGGTGAGGAGAAGGATTTATTGTTTTTAGTTAAAAGATGTGTTGAAAGACTAAAGAACAGCTTGGGGGGAAAAAAAGATGCTGGTCAGTATGTGATGTTTGTACCTGTGCATTTGTTTGACTCCCCAGTGGCCTCATGGCTTTCTCATGCCTCCTTTATGCGTTGGGGTTTTGAAGGCATGCTGCAGGTGCAGTTCAGAGGCAACAAGTACCGCGTCACTATCAGTAACATCACCATCAATGTTGACGGCATACACGTGAGTTAGAAACAAACACACAAATGCAAAATCATCCATGGGTGTAAATCAGCACCCTGGCATTTCCTTTTTATTAGAATTAGTTACAGGGCAATCATTTATAAATAATAGGATGGAATGGTTTGTAAATGAACACAACTATTGGGACGAAAGTAGTGCACATGGACAATTAACATCTTTCTTATCTTGTAACCGTCTCCATTTGTGTCTCAGGTGGTGGAGGCGATGAACATGAACCAGTACCCTCTGTACTCATGCTATTTGGTGCTGCTGGCAGTCTGTCTGGTCTTCATGGTCCTCTATTACTTGTCCCTAAAATTCATCAAACAGAAGTCCAGTCAGGACTGGTGAACAGATCTGGACCAACTGTCAGACCAAACACTGTCTAAAATCACACACGTCAGGAGGAAAGGTTTTACTTGATGTTTTTTGCAGCAGCAGTGGAAGGAAATTGGATTCTAGCTCGACTAGTTCGACACCATTGTTATTTTACTGTTTTACAGTGCAAAGGTGCTTAATCAAGGGGGAGGAAATGTAAAATATGTGTTTTGAATTTACATTTCCCCGATAATTTCAACATCTGAAGCTCCCTGTACCTTTTTTAATGGTACAAACCCATGAAATAACCACCCTGGCACCTCAGTAGAGTGTAAAACATCACCCTTCTTGATATAGGAAATAATGTCTAAAAGTGCAGCAGTTCCCCTCAATCTTTGACTAGTTGAATATGGGAATAAGAATTTGGATAAGCAGAAAAGCACTTGTTGCAGTACCGCTGTCTGCTGCTGGATGGCAGCAGAGCACTGCAGTATCAGCAAAGTTAAAATTATGGCATTTCTTTTTCTCCCTCTCTTCTTCATCTTGGCAAATGATTAGAGCGCCACTTTGGCAGATATCCATCTGCAGCTTTTGCTTGTTCCATTTTCAATCTTCTTTTTTTTCTACAGCTTTATCTTTTTTGTATATGTAAGGTTATTAAGCTTAACAATGTGTATGCCAGTATAGGGAGCACTGGGGGGAAAAGCCTAGTAGTGATTTAGTAAGTCACACTCAGAAAAAAAGAGCTTGTACTCATAGATTGAAGATTATGTAAGCTGTGTGTTTTTGCACTGGTGCAAAAGCCTGATAAATATTTTACAGACATGGTTTGAGTCCAAATTAGTAAAGTATTAAATGAAATTGCTCCACTTGAGCATGTTTATTTCTGTCATACTCTGCTGTCCTTCGGCCTAGTCATTCTGTCACACTGTGTTGTCACTAGTAGCTGTGCTGTTCTTTACCATCACTGTTATTGATAATGTGATTTTCAGTGATTATCCTTCACATTCTGGTTGTCATTTCAAAACCCTTAAAATAGTTCTTAATGTGAAATCATGCATGTTAACACCATAATGATAAGCTAAAAAGTTGTCAAAAAACTCCACATCTCTGATTATGCAAAACAATTACATTTTTTTCAAAGAGCATGAACACTGACTGTGCTCTTTTGAGGGCAGTCCATAATTATCAACGCAATTTTCAAAGTAACTTTTATTATCATAGAAACCAAAGAAAAAAAGTGGGTTTTATACAAACCTGGGTTAGGGTTAGACTACATGAGACAGTCTTTGATGAAAATCAAATTAATGCCAATAATCTTTTGCATCTGTTCTGTGTGAAAGCATTTTATTATAAAGTATATGAGTGAATGAGTACATCATTTCTTTAAAAAGGGGGAGGCATTTCTACCTGATATGGACCTTTTTTAACAGAAGACATTCGCTGGATCCCGAATCACAAACTAATCCTTAGCAGGTTTTGAGTATATAGTGTGTTCACACTGGAGAAGTGATAGTATACAGTACACAAGAAAAACACTGTATCTGAAAAAGTATTCAGATCCATTAAGTAAAATCACCAAAACCACAATGTAAACATACCCCATTATAAGTAAAAATCTTGTAATTAAGTAGTACTTCAATAAAAGAACAGAAGTGTTGTTAATACAATTTACTTAATTTAAAATAACTATTTCTAGTGCTGTAAACAGAAATTTAACATTGGAGCTCATCAAGAAGGTGCGAATTTCAACTTTCTATATTTTGGTTTTGATCTGTAACAATGCATCATATTCTATAGTGTTCATAGGTTTTGTGTGTACACTTTAGATCTGTAAACTATGGCAGTCACACATATGTAGTGGAGTAAAAAGTCCAAGATTACCCTCTGATATGTAGAGAAGTAGTAAAGTACAATAAAATGGAAATATTCAAGTAATTTATATGTACCTTAAAGTACAGTACTTGCCACCACTGAGCTGCACACAACTGGAAAAAGATTTAACTAATTGTGGATGTAATGTATAATCAAACAACAAATAACTTAATTCCTTGGGGGAAAAACATTTTGCTGTCTGAAGTTTTATTTGAAGTGACATTTTAAAGTCATAGTTTAATGTATGTTTTTTATTTGGATACCTGCATGAACAGTACACTCTAAAAATTAGTATATCGTACAGTACTATACTATAGTGTAGTGTAGGCACAGGTGTCATTGATAACCTTTGTAGTTAGGTGTTTCATGGCCCTGGTATTGTGCATACAGACTCACTGGGACACCTCATTGGAACAGAGCCATTGTTAATGTAATTAGCCCCATTTGTGCTTTACCTGCTGCACTGAAAAAAAGGTTAATTGTAGCACTAAATACACACTTTTTTAACCACACAAAGACCCAGGCACAGAATGTGGATTCCTAACATCATTTATTAGCATAAATACTTCTGTACATTCTCAACATCATCCTCATCAACATTATCAATAGCGCAGTGGACAGGGTGTGACATCCAACAGCTATAACACAATACCCATCATTTCAGCTCAAACAACTTATATAAAAAAGAAAGAGACAAAAGGAAGAACACAATGGGATTTGGATGGAGGTAAGACGAGAGGAGGATGAATCTTTATTCCTCAGCTGCTGTCTGAGATTTAGCAGCTCTCTCTTTCAGCTTGTCTGCATAAAACTTAAAGGACTCCTGTAAAGAGAAAAAAAGACGATTCAGCATCAAACATTTAAAACAAACTACCATACAGTGAGGCTTTGTGTGTGTTTCTATCTCGCCCCTCTTTCCAAAAGTAAACAGCAGTGGAGCCCCTCCTGGGTCTGTCTAAACAGTCTCCACTCACCAACTAGGTTGTCTCGTTTCATCTTTAAATCCCCATTAATACACAAATAAGGGATTTGTAGCACACTCCCCAAACACACACACTTGGGCTCTCTGCCTCTGTTCCTGCCTAATTAATCAGTGCTTTGATCCAGACAAAGTGTTGTGTTGGGTGCTTTTTGGAGGGGAGAAGGTGAGAGCTTTCCTGCAGATTACGCTGGTTTGTTGCATTGTACGGTTGCTTATTAATGTATTAATTAATGCTGATAAATAGCTGTGTTCACTATAGTAGGAGAGAGAGAGAGCGATCCCAGCAGGGGTTTGAAACAAGTTCAAAGGGTCAGTTCACTCTAATCACAAAAACATATTTTCTCACTAGATTTGGTTATATTTGTCCAGGTTTTAAGATGTCGGCCTGAGATTTTTGCCTCACCAAACATAATGTGGAGCTGAACGGAATTTCATGTGTGGTGCTCAAAGCAATTAAAAAAAAAAATAATAATACAATCTATAAATACTATACAATCTGCCCACATCACTGAACAATGGAACTACTTTCTTCTTACTACTTCTGTGGATGATCCTGAGTAATGGGGACATTGGGTCTCATGCAAGAGCATTTTAATTTTCTTAATAATAAATCTCTGTTACTTGTTTCTATGATGTTTGCTAGCACAAGTTTTCCAAGTAAAATGCAGCAAACTCTCGTAACTACTGCACAAACCTAAAATACTTAAATTGCCCGTTTCAACTTGATGAACGCTTTCGTAATATATGATCATTAGCATAATCAACAACCTCAAATTGCTGTATAAAGCTACCTGTCCGGCTCCATTTGTGGGCAAGTTTCAATCACAAAAATGTTACTTAAGTGTAAAAAGGAGAAATTCATGCTGTGGAGCTGCAGGCCCTGCTGTTGGAAGTCAGCGGATGATTAAAGATTACATTTAGCAGCGTGAGTAGTCACATAAGGGGATTTAAGAGAAAGACAATTATTATGGTTGTCAAAGCTATCGCAGAGCTGAGCTGTGACAGAAACAAAGAAAGAATGGCTTGTGACGTCGCTGTGATAAATGAGAGAAGAACATTTACCATTAAGTTACAGGTGATGTTCACTGTCAGGTGTAACAAATAAGTCACGTGGTGATTGTTGAACCTTGGCAGCCACGATGTACCATACATCACACATCACAGTTAAGAGCAAATCTGTTTGTACATTTCTGGGGAGACACACTGCATTGAGAAAACGTTTTTGTCAATGGAGCAGCAACGTCTATACACATGGAGAGGAGGGAGACCAGCGAGGACAGGACGAAGATGTGTTTGGAGAAACTTCTGAACACCATGACTACTCACCTTACCCTCTCCTTGCAACTCCACTGGCTCTCCTTTGCTAATAAAACCCAGTCATCACCTAACTATCCTGACATTCAGTGAATAATGCAGCATCCTTCTTTCTCCTTCTATCTTTGCACTGCAGGTGAGTGATGGGAAGGTAAGAGGTGGGCTTCGTTCTACACCTGCCTCAAGGGGACAGCACATTAAAGTGCTGGGGCTGAGAGGGCTGTGTGTGTGTCTCTCTCTTTATGGCCCTGTGTGAGTCCTCTGCCAAAAATAGAGCTACATCAACTTACAAAATGTGCAGTGTGCTGAAATGCTCAAAAACACTAGGACCTAGAAAAAGAGAGCAGCTATTGCAGTGACACCATCTCGCTTACACAATCCATGTACTCGACGGGCTTAGTGTCTGACATGCGCGCACACACACATACACGCAGGAGCTGCAAGCCTGTGTATATTGAACTATCCTGAGCAGGCAGACTGCTCTGTCACATTACCAATGGAGCACACAGACCACAGCACACACACAATGGCACGCATTAGGACGCCAGCCGGACAACTGTCAGCACTAGTTAGGAGCTGCAATGTGCGTGTGTATGTGTATCTGTTCATAATATGTTGTTCATGTCTGCATGGTTGTATCAATATGGGCAGGTGTGTGTGTGTGTATGTGTATGTGAGGTATCCACTGTGTGCTAATATAACGTAGGTTTGAGAAATAATTGAATAGTATCATATATGGACTTCCAGTAAAAATCAAATAATAACAACGTGATCATGACATGTTACCATTCTCTGAATTATTCATTCCAAGCACACTGTAATACCGTGTTATAGTAAATTCAACCTGTTGGTTGGAAAAAACAAGACATTTCATGCCATTGCCATGGACTTCAGGAAATATCTTTTGCTGTTTTCAAGCATTTTATAGACCAAACAACAGATTAATTGAGTAAATAATAGTAATTAATCATTTTTCGATCTCTATGCAATCTATCTTTTTAAACCCATCTCCCTGCACCACTATACCATTGTGCTGTAAGCAATGGTCCAAAATAATGGTTTGTAGGAAAAACTGTAGGCTGGCTAAGCACTTTTCCCTGAGCAGCTCTTAAAGTTACACAATAGAACACCCAAATTGCTCAGTATTTCATGCAACATCTGAGTTTTTAAATACGTTGTTGTACTTTTTGTGCTGGTGACTGTAGAGTCACAATTTCCTTGTGTAACTTTTTTTTACTGTTGTTACTGACTACATGGGTGGAGTCTGTGTGGGTTTGATTTAAAGGTTGTTGGAAGACGTTCAAACATTACCCCCGAAACAGGACATTCAAGTATATTCTGTCCAACATCCTTAAATGCTGAGTGATTATGTAGAGCATCTCCTGTGTGTGTGTGTGTGTGTGTGTGTGTGTGTGTGTGTGTGTGTGTGTGTGTGTGTGTGTGTGTGTGTGTGTGTGTGTGTGTGTGAGTGAGTGTGTGTGTGTGTGTGTGTGTGTGAGACTTACAGGGGGTTCAGGGAAGGGCACCGTCTCTCCTGCATCACGGTAAAGCACAGCCATCCGTTTGAGAGACAGCTCGTCTACAACGATCCCCTCCTTCTGCATCTGCTCATACAGAGCCTTGGCTGATGATAAGTCCTTATCCAGAACTGTCAGACAAGACGGGGAGAGACACAAAAAGTCAGTGAATGAGAGTAAAATCTCAACATGGTAAATTCTTACTTGAATTTAGACAAAAAATTAAAGTGTGTGTAAGGGGCAAAAAAATATGTGTCATATTTCTTGGTGGTATGTTCCACCTTGATTTATCGTCAACTGATTGGCACCAAGAACTTATATCTTAAATGCACATGCATACTGTCCAAATGTTGTATATACTTGTGTCTGCCATAAAGACACACACACAACCCATGCTTTTGCGAGGATAATGAATTGCTTCTAAAATGCTGCTGACTGCATATGTTAAACAAGCAGCAGATGGAAAAGCAGAACTGCAGTGAAGACCTCCACTGTGGGGAGAGGAAAAATCACCTCTGCAGGTAGACGTACCTGAAATGATGACTGAAATTATGTTTTGTTCGTGCAAGAGTAATCATCTGCAAATCTGAAACAGCATGAATGCGTGTGGGTGTGTGTATCAAAGAGACAAAAGTAAGGGAAGTAAGGTCGCCGCTGTCAAAGAAAAAGGCAAGTTAAAGAG